GGAGACCAAGTAGACAGGGCAGACCCTAACTCTGGGGGTACCTCCTTAGCTCCTGGAACTAGCCCTTACCTTGGTCACCATGATGGGTGTGTGGAAATCCCTGCCCCCAGTGATCCGGAAGCCCCAGGGCCCGGGCCCCACCACATCCACCGTCAGTGCCATATCTGAGGAAGAAGGGACGGAGACCCTGTAAGGTGGTAGAAGAAGCAAAAGAGAGAGGATGACAGGTCCAGAGAGCAGCCAGTTAGTGGCTGGGGGGGGGGGGGGGGGGGGGGGGGAGGGGGTGGTCCCCTTTTCCCCCCCCCCCCCCCCGGGGCAAGGCTAAGTCCCATCAGTGCTTGCTTCCTGTCCCCAAAACTGACTGCACAAGGTACTTCCTCCCCACTCTGGGCGAGGGCAATACTCTGGTAATAGAAGTGACAGCAAACAAGGGGGTGATGCCACCACAGACTGTTCAAGTTGTTGGCTGGGTGGGGACTGGCCCAGGGTCTTCAGAGGGGCCTCCGGGCTGCCTGCCTGTCCCCTGGCAATGCAGTCCAGGTAGGCAAGACTAGGCTTCCCACCTCCCCCAGGGGCCTGCTGCCCTCTGAACAGCCCCAGCCAGAAGGACGGGCTCATCTGCCAAGCTGGGCACACCCACCCCCTGGCAATGGCTAGCAGGGCGAGCTGACTGATGCTGCCTGCTAGCTGGGGCCACAGGCCTCCCATCCACTGCCCCCTCCGCTGGGCAAGGGAGTGTCCTTGCAGACCCAGCCCTGGTAGGATTTCCTGAGCCTCTAGTTATGGAGTCAGGAGCCAACCCAGGCAGGAAGCTGTAATGCCAGCCCTGGGCCACCACCCTGCCCAGCACCCACCCCGGAGGCTGCCCCTGGGGAGGCCCAGAGACTGCAAGTGCTGTGGGAATCTATCAAGGACACTAGGGCCACTTCCCGTGTTTAAGAGCCTGGGGAGAGGGCGCCCAAGCAAGAAGAGCTGTCTGCCCTCTCCCTGGTCCTTGGCTTCGCCTTTTGCCCAGGCCTCGCTCCTGTCCCTGCCCAGGTCGCCCAGGTCCCCAGGCCGGCGCTGGCGGTTCACAGAGACTTTGGATTCTCAGACCTTTGAGCCGGCCGGTGGACTCCGCGCCCCGGGCCGCGGGGAGGTGCCCAGCCTGTCGGCCCGCCCGACTCTCCCAGTTCTGGCTTCTTCTACGCTCCGAGGCCAAAGTACCCGCGGGCCGGGTGCTGGAGGAGGAGAGCCCGGGATCAGGAAAGCCCAGCACGCGGGGGACACCGGCCTCCAGGCGAGGCTGCAGGGACTGGGGCCGTGGGCGGAGGAAAGAGCCGGGGTGCCGAGAGCAGCGCAGAAGGGGCGCGGGCGCGCAGAGCTGCGAGGTCCCCGGAGCCGGGAAGGTCGCCGGCCGTGCGGACGGTGCGCAGGTGGGCGCGCTCACCTGGCTCCCGCTCACCTGGCTCCCGCTAACCCGTCGGGCTGGGCGGCCAGGCCCGGGAGGGAAGGGAAGGGAAGGAGGGAGGGTGAGGAGACACCGCCGCTGCCGCCGCCGCCGCCGCCGCCGCCGCCGCCGCCGCTGCCGCCGTCTGCCCGACTCTGGGGAGAGCCCGCCCGGGGCTCCAGGACCTGCCTCCGCCCATGTGATCCCGGGGCCGCCCCTGCCACCGCCCCTGGCCCGGGAGGCCGCCTCCTCCGCGCAGCCCAGCCCCGGCGCGGCCACCTGGCCCGCGCCCTGCTGGGGTGCGCGGGGGTTTCTTTCCCTAGAGCCCCCTAGAGGCTGCGGTCGTCCTCCCCGAGGTGCCCTTCTCCTGACTGCTCCGGGAGGCCCGGGGAGGCTTTCCGGTGACGGGTCGCGAGACCCACTGCGCGGACAGCAGAGGCTGTCGCCCCCTGAAGCTCTCCCAGGCCGGCGGCGCCCACCCGCCTTCACAGGGGCCCTCGAGCCACCCCTCCCCTCCCCCCCCCCGCCACAGACACACCCCAGGCCCGGGCGGGGGAGGGCCTGCTGGGCCTGTCTGCGGTCCGCCTGCCTCCTCCGCCCACTCCCGGCTCCGACTCCGCAGCTGGCGCGGATGCAGCCCCGACACCCACAGATCCCGAGCCGGGGCCTCCCCCGCGCCCTCCTCAGCTCCGTTCCCCAACGGCCCGCGCGCTCCCCGGGCGCTGGCTGCGGGCTGCTGGGTTCTTGGGGCTGCGCAGAGCTGCCCCAAGATGCTGGAGATGCCCCGCGAGGCTCCTCGGCTCAGTGCGACCTTCGAGGCCCAGGAGCTGGAGGGAATCCTGGCTGGCGGTCGCTGGGCACTCTCCTGGGCTCATACTTTTCCATTCCTGGCTTCCCTCCCCTCACCCTCTCTGCTGCCCTGCCTGGGGTGGGCCAGCCCCAGCAATCACCACGGGCCCTCGCTGCCCGTGAGGCCCAGCCTTCTGCCAACCACCTGGAACCCAGGCTCTAGGGAAAGGGAGAGGGCAGCCAAGGAAAGGCCCCAGGCACCAGCTCAGAACCATCTGGCAAATGGCTCCCCAGCGCCATACCTGCCAACCCTCAACTCAAGACACGTCAGGGCCCACCAGAGCCGACTCTGGCATCTCCCATCGGTCTCCACTTTGCACTCCGTCAGGCTGGTCTGTTGTCAGGGAAGCACACCTGTGGGTACAGCTGTAACTTGCCTGCCTCAGGTATGAGTCATTCCCTCCAAGTTCCCTCTGCAAGGAGTGCCCTCACCACTCTTCCCGCCTACTTATGCCCTGTATCTCATCCTCCCTGCACTGACAGCCAGCATACTGCAGCAGACCTCCCGTTCCCGCCCTCCCATGGCCTCTGTCCTGGGTGTGTGTAAGCCTCTCTCCCACCAACCAGTCCTGGGCCTCCTGGAGTGGCCACTTGGCCTGACACTGGTGCTCTACCACCCAACTAGACTGGAAGCCCTTGAGGGAGCAGGAAACTGCAGGACAGACAAGCACAGCCTTGGGGTCACACAGACCTAGCCTCAAATGCCAGATCTGCCTCTTAGTGTGTGACCGTGGGTAATTTCCTCACTTTCCCAATGAGTAAAATGGGGATAGTGCCTACCTTAGCCTCCTGTGTGCAGACTGTCCTCCCATATAAAGCTACTGGCATGCAGGTTCCTCTTAGGGCGAGGGAGGGTGGTGATTAGTTCACTGCTCCATTCCCAGAGCCTAGCACAGTGCCTGGCACACAGTGGGCATTCAATAGATGTCAAATGAGTATTGTTTGAATGATTGAATGGATTCATTTCCCTTCCTTCACCCCCAATTTGTGGCCAGAGCCTCTGTTTTACATCTCTTTGTGCCCCTGACTTTTCCCTCGTCCCTAGCATTTACAGGTTAATCTGCAGGATTTCTGCTCTGTGGGTTGTGCATTCACAAAACTCACGACCAAGACAAAATCGACTGACCCAAGGGCAAGACCCTGTGGACCAGAAGGGAGTACTGTCCTGCTCTAAGCAACTCTGCAGCCCTGGGCAAGTCACTCCACTCACCTCTCTCAGGGGATGAGCATCCCCAGTGGCCTACAGCGCGTTCTGACTCCGACCCCGCAGGTCCCCCTCGCACCCCCCTGGGCCTGTGACCTGTCCCCTCCCCTCCTGCCTCCCGCCAGGTCAAGGCACAGAAGCAGTCATTGTGCAGGCAGCGCTGTCATGGCAGGCAGCCCGAGGGTGTAGTGTTGGTGTGCTGCAGAGGTTTCAGGGCTCCATCAGAGGGTGTGGATTTGGTTTCTGCCCCGGGGAGAGGAAGTCTCAGTCAAAGCTGGTATCTTTTTTGAGGGCATCAGGGAATGGGAAGAAGCTGGGACAGGGGAGCTGGAACAGGCCAGTGGGTTTCTGAAGAACGGTCATTTCCACAAGATGGGCTGGAGCCGCCAACTTAGAAGCAGATCGTGGTGAGGACTGGGGTGGACGGAAGAGACGGAGGCCACATAGGTCTTGTTCTCCTAGCTGCTGTTTAACCACCACTGGGGCCCAGGCCACACCCAGGCTCAAGGAAACTGCCGGGGCCAGGCTATGGCCCTGTCATTCACAGGCAGAACTAGGCACCACCACCTCTTCCCACCCACCTGGGGTGGGAGGGGGTGCCCTGAGTGACAGGCCTGGCAGACAGGACTGCCAGGAAGAACATAGAAGACGCCCAACCCAGTGAAGTCCTTGGCCTCACGCATGACCTTCCTTGTCCAGGAGGTCAAGGTCCACAATGTCCCAAATTTCTGCATTTTGTGTACCTGACTTCACATTTTATAATGATGTGACCCAGACAACTTAATTTCTCCGCCTCAGGCTGCGGTCCCGTAAAATGGAATCCTACCCCCACCACTGGGAGGCTTACGTCAGAGAGCACATGGGGAGCACTTTATGCCCTGCTCAGCTACCAGCAGCTGCCAAGGAATGGAGTTTTCTTTCCTGGCAGAGCAGCCAGGCCCGGACTGCGCCACTCCGTCGCCCTGCAGGGACCACCAAGCCCCAGGAGCCTGAAACCTTGGGTGAGAAGAGTTGCTTTGGCTAAGCTGTGTCCTATCCCCCTCCCAGCTTCCCGCAGTCGATGGCTCAAAAACCCAAGCCCAAAGAGGAAAGTAAGCAAACACACGAGCGCTTCGGTGTGGAAATGGAGCACACAGAAGGAAAACATTAGGAGCAGAACAGCTAGAAATGTCATCTAGTCCAGCAGCCCCATGGCGGCTCCGGAATCAAAACAGCCTGCACACAAGGCCGCGTTCAGCGCTCATCTCTGGTTTCTCCCCACGGTCGGGCTTGCCCTGGGCCCCATGACGTTCTCTCTCTTGGCGCTGCCTGTCAGACGGCTGCCCGCTCCTGGGGGCTGCCCCGTTCTGCCTGCGACCGGAGGGCTGAGATCTTCAGACAAGGATGGTGCTTTTCCACCCTCCCCTTTCACACACAGCCTCACGGCCCACCTGGTTCCCAGCACAGCCAACCGCAGAAAGAATGCCATGGTCCTAAGCAGGAGGAGCCTTCTGCCCGGAAGGAAAAGGACTGGCAAGGTCCCTGGTATCCAGGTTTATTTTACATTCTCTTCCAGAGGGGACTTGGGGGTTGGAGGAGCTGGGGAGGCAGGAGGGGAGGCTCCCTGGGGAACACCTGGAGCAGGCCAGTCCTCTGAGGCCCAGCCCTTCCTGGGCCTTACGGCAGCCCGGTCACACACACAGCCCAGGGCTTGGCAGCCTTGGGGAAGGCGGGGCCTTCGAGCAAGACCTCTTGCCAGGCCTTGGGCACTAAGCGGTGCTGTGTCCCTCTCCCACCTCACTCCCAAACCCAGCTGGAAGCAGGAAGGCAAAGGGGGCAGTGGGCAAGCTGGAGCGAAAGGGGACGAATCCGCTCCAGGCAGAGGAGGCCTTTGGTCTCTGTTAGGTTAGGAAGCTGGTCCTTGGTAGAGGAACCCCATGGGGGTAAAGCCGGGAGCCGGTCCCTGTTAGAGGAAACGCCATAGCCGGGCGGGGTGGGGGTGGGGGTGCTCCTGGCTCTGGTCTCAATAAGGCCTGGAAACAGTCTCCACTTCAAAGCAGACCTCTATATTTGGGGAGTGGGATAGGAGAGGAAATAAAAAGGCTGCTGGAGGAATGTTTGTGAGCTGTGGGTGGGAAGCAGTCCAGGGGGCTTTGAGGGGGGCTCTGAAGAACGGCTGCTGGGGTTGTCTGCAGATGCCAGCAGCTCAGGTCTCGGGGAAGGATGATGGAGGGGGGATCCTCTCCCCATAAGTGCTACTGCTCCCCACCCCATCCTGGCTGGGCTCTGAGTTGCCACGGAGACCACTCACACCGGAGCTACGTAATTTCCAGGGAATGTCCCAAATTTCTGGGTCCTTCGGGAGACACCTGAAAGAGAAAAAGAGAAAAGGCATAAAAGGCATTCCCCAGACTTCTTGAGTAGGAATGTGGGGGTGAGGGGCCTTCCACTTCCACTGGCAGTGCCCGGAACTGCAGGCGGAGTCCCTGTCCCAGGGACGGAGGATTTGTTTTACTCACTCTGCCCCCTAGTGGGAAGATGGGCAAAGCTACACTTCCTCATTCAAGGACTTGGAATTTGGGTCGCCTATAACTTGGCACACAGCACAGAATTACCCCATCTTCCTCAGGAAAGCAAGGAAGCCGGAGGTTGAATCCAGAACTTAAATGTGGAGGAAACTCACTGGTCTCACCTTCAATTTAGACATGGGACAGAGAGGCAAGGCCTAAAGAGAAGGCCACGTGAATGCCCCGAAAGCACTCTGTTGCTTAGGGGTAGAGGTGGGAGTAAAATCCAGTCCTCTGGTCTGCTACAACCCCAAAGAAACCCGTGTTCTGGAGTGGAGAAGACAGAATGCTAGAAGATATAGGAATGTAAAATGAAATTAAAGTCCTGAACCTTCCCTTCCTGGCAGGCTGGCATCCTGACTTCCCGATAAGCAGCCCATGCTCACCCTGCTCTCAGGCCTTGCTGATACTGTCCCACTGCCTGGGATGCCTCACCTGCCCATTAAGGGCTAGCTCCCCCACTTCCTCCAGGAAGCCTTCCCTGCCTGCACTATCTGATGTGATAACCACTAGCCACATGTTGTTACTTAGCACTTGAAATGTGCTGGTGTGGGGTGCCTGGGTGGCTCAGTTGGTTAAGCATCTGCCTCAGGCTCCCTGCTCAGTGCGGAGTCTGCTTCTCCCTCTCCCTCTGCCTGCCCCTCCCCCTGCTTTTACTCTCTCTCTAATGAATAAATAAAATCTTTAAAAAAAAAGAAATGTGGGGGCACCTGGGTGGCTCAGTCGGTTAAGCATCTGTCTTGGCTCAGGTCATGATCCCAGGGTCCTAGGACCAAGCCCCACATAGGACTCCCTGCTCAGCAGGGAGTCTGCTTCTCCCTCTCCCTCTGCCGCTCCCCCTGCTTGTGCTCTCTGTCTCTCTGTCAAATAAGTAAATAAAACCTTTAAAAAAAATAAAAAATAAAGAAATGTGCTAGTGTGACTAAGACATTGAACTTTCTAAACCTTTCCTCTAAAAGCACTTGTGGTTTTAATACCACAAAAGTGGTGCTTTTTCTTCTTGTCTATATTTGTAAAACTTTATAAGTGGTAAAAAAAAAAAAATTTAAATGCAGAGGTGTACAGAGTAAAATGAGAATGTGCCCCCAAGCCCACCCCTCCAAGGCAAGAACCGTTAACAAGTGAGTGCTCCATTATCACTGGTGTGTCTGAAACTTGGTCAGCAATGAGGTGCTAGGATTCAGATGAGAAAGGATGGGTTGCCAGGTCAGGAGACTGCCGTTGGGGCCCCTTCTGCCCAAGCAGCCTTGCCACCCTTTAAGCTCTGCAGTGGGAGGGGCTTCTGGCTGCTCACTACTCTTTGAGGATGGCCCCTTCCTCTGAAGCGGAGGCCTATATGGCCCTGCCCACTCGGAGGAAAAAGGCCATGTGAAGCCTGCTGGGTTGGTCACCTTGAACCAGCCCAAGGCCAACTTGAGGCTTCCTGCTTTAGTCCTTTAACTGAGCTGCCCTAGGGCCAGCCCTGTGGACTGGGGAGCCAGCTGCTAACTGGGGGTGGGGGTGAGTGATGCATGGGTGTGAGTGAGACTTGGTCCTTTCCATCAGGAACTTAGAGTCTCAGGAGACAGGCCCCTCCCCCCAAAACTGCTCCAGAGACAAGTGTGTGGTGGGAAGGAGCAGGGATGTGAGGGTCGGGAAACCTGCTGCCCCCGAGTCTACACCGACTTCATCAATGACCCTGGCCTCGTCTATCAGACGTGAATCTTGGCTGAGCCAGTACTGGCAGGCTGTAGCAGCCCACCCGAACCTCCCCAGCAACCCCCAAGATGTCCCCTTCTGACTTGTCCCCCAGGTCATCCCCCCCAGCACCCTAGGATACTTCCTCTGGTGTGCCCCCAGCTATCCCGCCAGGGTACTCACAGATAGTCCCCTTCCGGCCGGCCCCGCGGCCCACCCACCAGGCCCACATACCCACGAACCAGCCGTCGTCACACTGCTGCATGACATCCACCCGATCCCCCTCCCGCAGCTCCAGCTCATCCTCGTTTTGGGGCCTGTACTGGTACATGGCCCGATACCTGTGGGAGACAGCATCATGGCAACCACTGGAGCCTGGCCCCTGCCTCAGGTCAGGCCCAGAGAGTCTAACCCAAGTGTTGCTACATCCCCTTAATTTTCCAGATGACTCCATTATCCCCTGGCCCAGCTTCAAGAAAGGTGACTCTGTCTGGCCTCAATGCATTCTTTCCGTGGCCTGCTCCCTGTGCCCCGAGCCCTACCCACCTCAACCCCTCCTCCTCGGAGCTCCCACTGCCTTCAAGTCCGTTCTACCAGTTCGCACACTTCACACTGGAAACCCAGACGGGAGGCTGAGGCCGAGGGACAGAGAGCGGGAGGCTTGCTTTAAGGCTACAGGGCTGGCGGGACAGGTCAGGCCCATCACAGGCAAGTGGCCCCCCAACCAGATCATCCCTAAGTGCCAGAGGTAGGAGTTCACCAAATCCATCTTAGGGGGGAAGCGGCACGCTAGGGGGTGGTCAGTGTGCTCAGTACTGCCTGCCAAGCAACACGCCACCCCTGACCAAGCATCCCCAGATGGTACTCACGGGGTCCAGTGTATCTGAGCGGTGTTGGGGGGCATCCCCAGGTCCAGGGGACGGCTGGAGCCTCCAGGATGGGACAGAGCTGACCCCGGGGTGCTCTGGGGGTCCACAGGAGGAAAGGCAGGCACACACAAGCATGAGGGAGAGTGCCACTGGCCCCCCCTCCCTGCAGCGGCATTCCTCATCCCGTCCCCATCTGATCCTCTCAACCCCCATGACACAAAGAGCTCTGCCTGAGCACTTCAGCTCACAGGTGCTCGGAGGCCGAGGCCCAGGGAGGGTAGGAGGCTGATTCTAACAGCCAGCACCTGGGAGGGGTGGGAGGCCCGTGCACTGGCCGTGCCTGCTCACATCGGTCTGCTGAGAGAGTGGATGAGCACAGGAGAGGAGGCCCTTGTTTACGGCCTACCTCGGTATGAAGACCAGTGAAGCCTTTTACCCATCAGCTACCACAAACTTTTAGTTCAAACTACCCCATTCCACAGCTGAGAAACCCAATCCAGAGAGGGTAAGTCATCTGCCCAAGGTCACACAGCAGGTGAATGGCAGACTTCTGACTCCCTCATGACCGTGTCCCAGATATTGATATAGGCAGATCACGAGAGTGGAGTCTATGGGGTCAGGAGGCCTGCGCTGGCTTTGGGGTCACACCTAGAGCTGGCTGGCTGCCCCATGCCTCCCCCAGCTGTAACTACAGCTCAAGGGCCAAAACCAACTTCACGGGTGTGAGGGCCACAAGGCTAGGGTGGCTCTGCAATGCAAGGCTCTGCCCCGCTCTCCCACTGCTCTGTCCTGGGGCACACCAGGAAGGATTCCAAAGTGCAAATCCACCAAAGGAATGGAGGAAATAGTGTGGGGAGCAGGGATCAGCTCTCTAGTCTGAGGCAGGTCACCCTACCTGGGTCTGGGTTCTGGGCTCCTGGGTGGGGAAGGAGAAGCCGGTGCGGCGGGGGAAGGTCCGGCTCCCCCAGTCGGTGGGGTCCACTGGGCTGTGTGGCGTTAACGGGGAGCCGGAGTGACGAGCCAGCCGGGCAGTGGTCAGGCGGGGAGATGCAGGGAGCTGAGGGCCGTCGTCACAGATGCGGAGCCGGGGCTCGCGGTACACCTGCACGTAGCTGGCGGGGAAGATGCCCTGGCGCCCCGTGCCCGAGATGCGCCCCTCGTACCAGTTCTCATTCACCTTGCGGATCAGGCAGATGCGCTCCCCCTGGGGGTGCAGAAGGGCATGAGCATCTGCAAGGCCCTCCAGGGCACCATGCCCCCAACTGGGCCCCGAGGGGTCCGTCTCATGTAGACCTAGCGCCTTGCACAAGTGAGTCAGCTCAGAGCAGGTGAATCATGTCACAAGGCAGTGGTAGAGTCAGGAGCCAAGCCCAGGCTGCCTGAGGGAGCCCAGAAGTCGGGGCTCTTCCTACAACATGCCGCATTGGGTGTGGATCAAGGCTGGCCTCTTTGGGAAGCCTACCCGGCACCTACTCCTTGGACTTCACAGCATCCTCTCCCCAGAGTTCTGGTCCCTAGAGTTCTGGTGGCTATTAATGAATCGGGCTCTGCCAGTTCTGGGTTGTGCAGCCCTGGACCAGTTACCTTGCCTCTCTGAGCCTAGTTTCCTCACGTGTTTCGTGGGGATAACAATGTTGTTGCTGTGAGGAGCAAAGGAGATCAATGGCAGACTGGTAAGAAGCACTGGACAGGCATGAGCCGCCACTGCCACGACACGGTCCTGTCCCCGCCTCCTCGCTGGGTGACCCATCACCACTGCATCAGAACACGAACTCTCCGACGGCGGCCAGTGTGTCCTCCAGCCAACATACTTGCTGACATGAGGTGAGGCGGCCCTGGGGAGGGTGCTCTCCAGCCCCCTCCTGCCCCCCACCTCTTTCCACCCAGCCTTTCCCTCTCTCTCCTGGGGGCCAGCTCTTCCGAAGGACATTCACAAGAGGCATGCATGGCCTCTGTCCCAAAAACCAACCAAAGGGAGACCAGTTCCCTGTTTTCTAGGACAACATTTCTCAAACTTACCTTGACCACAGTCTATAGCAAAAAATATGTCCTAATAATAAGCCAGTACGTGCACATGTGCATGGGTATATATGTAACTGCTTAAAAGTTTGATCAAATACCCTTTCTACATGAAAGCTATTCTAACATTTCCATTCTGTTCTTCTAAAAATGCTGACTGTGATCCTCACAGCCTACCAACCTGCAACTGGGAAAAAAAAAAAAAATAACGCAACTACTCTAGTTTCAAACTTTTTTAAAAATGGGCTAAATGAAGGAAAACATATCCAAAGAGATTAGGAAAAATTTTAAATACTGGGTGAAGATGGGTACACTTGACGCTACACATATTTACCTATGTCTTCACGCGCCCCACCCCCACCCCCACTTCCTGCAGGGCCAAACCTTGCGGAAGGACAGCTCCACCTCCAGATCTCCCTTGAAATTGTACTGGGCCACAGCTTCTCCATACTCCAGCACCTGGTAGGTTGGGGGCTTGATGGGCTTTGGGATCTCATCTGCAGGGAGCACCTACAGGAAGAAAGGTCACGAGAAAGACTCAGCCCGGGCATCAACTGGGCACAGAACTGGGGCTCCCGGGAGAGTAAAGTAACAAAGAGAAGATGGTATGGGCGCGATCTGCCCCCAAAGCCAGTGAGGACATGGACACCAGACACAAGCTTGGGGGTGGCTGGGGTGAGCACAGCCAAGGGGTGGTTAGTCCCAGAAGGCTACTGGAGGAAGAATTTCCCCTAGAGGTGTGGAGTAGGCAATGTCAGAGCAAAGAGGGAAGCCAGTCCTAAGAGACAGCTTAAATTGGAGCCCAGAAGTAAATGAGGAATTCCAAAAAGCAGCACATACCTGGTAATCTGACCTGAAAGTGGGGATCTAACATTTTACCACTGCTGAGAACCAAGTGTCCCTCTTTCCCCTCCCTCCTACCCCACCCAGTGCCCAGAATCCCCATATTCTCTTTGCTTCACCCTACTCATAAAAAAATCAAGAAGCTAGTAAACTAGTTCATACTAAGATGTAAATTACTGATACAATGGAATACTGGCTATACTTTGTGGAATTTCAGAATCAGAGCGACTGTTCTGAAGGTAGGGGAGGCCTACTGATACTTATCAAATCGAAAGCCCAAATTAAACAACAACCCAATCCATGGGTCAAAGAGGAAGTCACAAAGGAAATAAGAAAATAGAGTTGAATGAAAAAAAAAATCCAAATCTATGGGGTGTAGATAAAGCAGTGCTTAGAGGGAAATTTATATCATTAAATGCTGATATCATATTTTTAAGTAAACTCTACCCCCATTGCGAGGCTCGAACTCACAACCCCAAGATCAAGAGTTGCAAGCTCTACCGACTCAGCAAGCCAGACACTTCTGGATCTTGTACTTAACCACTTGTCTCCGAACCTTAGCAAGCACATTTGTAAAATGGGGATGACTGATCACTTCTCAGGTTAATAAGAGGAACAAGGGAGGTAACAGACACGAAGGAAGTGATGAATGTATATGTGATTTGTAAGCTGTCACACATTTCGTACTCTTGGCAGTTGCCCTCAGGATCCTTCCCAAAGACAGCGTGAGAGAGACGGATGCTGAATGGTGACAGTCTGGGCTGCTGGCCTCTGGTGCAGGAGAGGGGTCATGTGGTTCTTCATGGGCTAGGCTCCACCTTTGGCGCTCGTTTAAGAAATATGTCCCGAGTGCAGGCAAAGCACTGGGCCCAACCGCGCGGGGGGGGGGGGGGGGGCAAGGGCATGAATGAGGCTGACTTGGCCCCTACCCCCTGGAGTTCACAGTTTTACCTACCAGGAAGCCTGTAAGATGTGGAGGAGCAATCAGCTCCACAGAGGGGCCATGCAGGGATAAAGGGGTCTGCACTCTAAGTCTCTGCAAACCCACGCACCCTCCCAGCTGGGCTCCTGCTTGCTCCTCGGCTTACCTCCACATAATTAGCAGGGAAGATGCCTAGCCGGCCATGGTGCTCCCCCTCCAGCCAGTTCTTGTCCACCTCCTTGTGGATGTAGACGATATCACCCTTCTTCAGAGTCAGCTCCCTGCAGGCCAGAGCAAGGATATCCAGCAAGGTGAGGGCCTCCCAATCCTCCTTCCCTTCAGACCCTGTCTTGTGCACCCAGAGTCTCCTCCATCCTCTGGGGGAGGCTGTGGCAGCCCTGTCCTCCCTCTCCTCCCATAGGGTGCAGAGACATTTGGGGGTGCGGGTTGGAGAGAAGGGCACTCACTTGGGGGACTGTGCCTGGAAGTCAAACTTGAGTCTGGCAGCCTTCCTCTGGGCAGGGGGAGAGGACAGAGGGAGTCACCTTAGTCAAGCAGGTGGCAGGTCTAGAACAGCCACCACGAGAACCACCCCAGATCCCCACGCACCCTACCCTAGCGCTCCCACCCCTCCTTACCTTCTTCTCTTCCTTCCTGGCTGGGCTGCCCCCTCGTTCAGAGGCATTAGGGTCTGTGAAAAAGCGCTACCTCAGCTTGGGAAGGCCATGTCTGGGGCAGGGTGTTGGGATGGGGTTCTGCTCCCCCCCCCACCCCAGCACAGGGCCAGTGTTAGCAGGGGGCTCCGTAAACCGTCCTCCTCCCACCCCAGCCCCACCCCAGCTGCACGGGGCACCAGCATATCGGTTGCACGGTGGCGGGCCTCCGGGTGAGAAAAAGAGCAGGAGCTGGTCCTTACCTCGAGCCGAGGAAGGGTAGACAAAGTCCCTACGACCTAGGAAGGGGCTTGCTCCATCCGCCATTCTGTGGGGGCTCAGGGGCCGGGAGGAACCCCGGTAAAGTGCATTCGGGGAACTGGAGCTCCAGGCGGGAGCCGGGCTGCGCGGGGACACGGTGTGTGAGCCACCTGTCTGGGGCCTCACACCCTACGCCACTTACTCCTGCCGCCCGAAAGTCTCCCCCTGTCTCCCGCCGCCTCCTCCCAAGGCGTCTCCCACGTCCCGGGCTCTCAACAGGATGTCCTACTTCCCCAGCAGTCGCGGCCGGGAAAGGGTGCGGCCTGGGGTCGCGGCAGGCGGGAGGACGCGTGGGAAGCCGGCCGCGGCCACCCAGTCCTCGGGCGGGGACACTTTCCCTCCGCGGCCACTCGCCGGCCTCCAGGCCCCTCCTCCCGCGCCCTCCGCGGGGCTCGCCCCCTCCCCGCGCGGCCGCCGCCGCCCCGTGCCACGTCCCCCGCGCCCGGCCTGGCCACTCACCGCGCGGGGGGCCGCGGCTCCCGGTACCGTCGGGGCACTTGGGAGCTCTGTAGGGGGAGATGGGGCGCAGTCAGGGCCCGGGACGCCGGGTCCCCGCGGCAGCCGGGGCCGCCGCCTCCGGAAAAGTTTGCGGCTCGGAAGGGCAGGAGGGGTGGGGAGGGGTGGGAGGGACGCGGGGTCCTAGAGTCGCCCGCGCAGGCGGGCGGGCCGGGAGCCCGGGAGGAGCCGAGGAGGAGGGGTGGGGGGGGCGGGGAGGAACCGTGGGGTGGCGGAAGAGGGGAGGCCGGCCCAGGAAACCGGGGTCGGGTAGGGGTTGGGGTCCCTGCGGACTGAGGTCGGGGGTGGGGGGGCGGGGCGAGGTGGGGGCGGGGAGCACCCGGCACCCGGACGTCAGGCTGACGTGGAATCGGCCTGGAAGGGTTCTTAGGGGTCACTTGGAAAAGTCAACGCCCTGCATTTTGTAAAGGAGACAGCAGTCAGGGATGAAGCCCGTCCAAGGCCCAGCTGAGTGCGGCTGGAGGCGACACCTCTGCTCTGCCTGCCCCTCCCACCCATGCTCCGCCGCTGTGCGGGGGACTCCGGGTCCCAGAGTCACCCAGAAGGGGACTGGGAGGCCGGTACCTTGGGGGACGGCTGCCGGGTCTCAATTGCCCGCAGGTCCTTGTCCAGCTCCGCGCTCAGCTTGGCCAGCTCTCTCTCCAGCAAGACCTGGGGGAGGATTACGGGGAGAGACTTGGGCAGGTGAGGGGGGGGTGTGGAGGGCACAGTGGGGGAGCACTGATCGAAGGTCAGATGCGAGATACTTAGTGGGCAGCAGGACAAAGCAAAGCACACTGTGCTTGGGTAAAGGGCAGGCTCAGGGCACAGAGCCAGGACAGGCTCCCTGCCTGTGGGCCTGCCCAGAGCTGTGTCTCAGGGTGTCAGGACAGCCCTTCCGCAGCTTCTCACTGGCCCTCTCATGGGGCCAGCTCACCCATCCCGACGCCCATGATGGTACCTTAGCACTTCCTGATAGTGCCTTTTGTCCTGTTAACTTTCCTGTTCGAGAGCCCATAAAGCTCCCGACTTCCTCTCTCATCAAGTCTTCTATGGCTTTCCACAGCCTGTACCCTACCTGCTTTCCTTTCCACTGCCCCTCCAGCCTTTCTCTGCACTCCCCCCCACTGAGCGCGTGCTCTCTCTCTCTCTCTCTGCCTGGCCAAGCCCTCCCAGCTCCACCTCCAAGAATACAAGTCCACACTGACCACTCCCTTCTCTGCTCCCACTTTGGTCAAGAGACATGTATTCAACACATATTTGAGTGCGTATTGTATGCCAGGCACTGTCCCAGGTGCTGGGGATACAGAGGTAAACTGTATGGGACCGGAGAGGGTCAGAGCTTTGGGTCTCTGGCCTCCGCGCGTGGTCACTGGGGCCAACACCACCCAGAAGTCTCCCTCATTTGTCCTGGAGCATAGCTATCTCCCTCCCCCTCCAACCTATCCTGCAGCACTCACCTCAATGGGCGGGGAGGGCTTCTCAACAGCGTCATCCACCAGCGGTTTCTTGGGCTAAGGGTGGGAAGGGTGAGTCAGTGGGGGAGGATTCCAAAATGCACTAACCAAGGAGTATGTGCACTCTCAGAGGGCCAGCAGGACACTCACCTTCTGTCCAGTCTCTAGTTCTTGCAGGAACTGGTTCCAAGAATCTTCCGTCCAGATATTGTCTGCTTTCTCTTGGCGTCTGGGCACCTGCATGGAAGTAGGTGGGCATCAGCTTGAGCAGGGGAGTACCAGGACACTATTCAGGCTCCAAAAGCAGGCTTGTAGGCCACTGCCTCACCCCTCTGCCTGCCAGTGCCTTCCTAAGGATTCTGGGCTCTCCTGGCTGCACGAGACAGGCTCCAAACCGAAAGGGCATTATCCTACTCTTCAGCAGAGGGGCCTGGTCAAAGAGCACAGTGCCAGGGGCAGTGAGGGGAGGATGCTGGGAAGGGTACCTGATTTGGGGTCTGATGTAGGGAGGATGCTCCAGGATTACAGTTGAAGGTGCTTCTAGGAACCTCTTCAGAGGGGTCCCAGCTTCTTCTAAAGAAAGGGGAGGACATCTCTTCATTTTCCTTTTAGGGAGACTAAGGCATAAGTGAGAACACAGCCCTGCACATGCTACCCCGACCCCCTGCCCCCTGCTACTGGCTCCAGCCTGTGAAAACAGTGTTACACAGTGGAGAGTTATGCGCTCGGAGTTCAAGTGCCAGCTCCATCACTTAGCTGGGGTCTTTTGGCAAGTTCCTGCACTCTCAGAGCCTCAGATTCAATACCTGTAATATGAGAAGGAGTCCCACCTTCGTGAGGGTGCGGTGAAGCTCAGGTGAGAGAACATATGTGAGATGCCCAGGAGAAGGCCTAACACATGCATCTGCTCCGTGAGTGGCCAGTCCCTTCCTACTGGCCTTAGTGAAATACCCTACATGCGTGTTTAGTCTGGCCCCACGGCTGTGGCATGTATGTTTGTGCAGCTTTGACGAGGCTGGTCTTCCAGGTTGTCGCAGTGGAGTGGTCTTGCACACATGCCCAAAGGTGTGGGTGGGTCTACATCCTAGTCCGAGGAGAACCCTGGGCAGGGCAAAGGGCCTGCAGCCCTGACTCGGGAGCCCTGGGCAAGCTGTTTTTGCTCCCTGCGCCTCAGTTCCCTGGGGGTGCTGCATTCAGTGATGTCATCTGTGAAACCACTCCAGCCACCAAGGCTCCACACTGTCACATTTGCCTTCGTTCCCCTCCAGGGCTCTTTTCTTGGCTGGCTTAAGTGTTCCAGAATCTGTTGAGTCTGAATGTTTCCACCACTGTACCAAGATTATCAAATGATGGAATGTCTGACCGGAGGGTCAGGATTTATTGGCTGTAACTATGACTCTCTTCTCTATTTTAGAAACAATAATATTAGTAATACCACTGATAATGAGAATAGAATACATCGTTCTTAATTTAGGGAAGCTCTAGTCATAGTTAAGCCTGTATATTAGTAATATTCGTGGAGGGGCACCTGGGTGGCTCAGTTGGTTAAGTGTCCGCCTTCGGCTCAGGTCATGATTCTGGAGTCCCAGGATGGAGCCCCATGTCAGGCTCCCTGCTCAGCGGGGAGTCTGCTTCTCCCTCTGCCTCTGCTCCTCTCCCAGTGCTCCTCTTTCCCCACTCATGCTCGTACTCTCTCTCTGTGTCTCTCTCTCAAAAAAATAAATAAAATCTTTAAAAAATAATAACACGTAGAGACTTCCTATGTGCCTAAACCCTCACAACCATGGTGTGGTCCCCACTCAGCAGATAGCTGAGACTGGTTAAGTTGCCCAAGGTCACATGGCTAGTGGCAGCGCACCAGCTGGAATCCGAACTCTGCGTTCAAATCTTGAGCTCTTAGCCTCTATCTTATTAATGATGCCAAGAGCCACAGGCCAGGTAGGGCCACGTTATTGAGGTTAATCCCTTCCTGTAAAGGAATAAGAAACTCGTTGATTTCACTTTGAGGCAATCCTGCTGATTCTCAAGCTCTGGTTGAGCCCCCTGCCCAAGGACCCCGGCAGCCTGGGCTGGGCTTGTGTGGTTTGTGCAGAGCAAAGGGATACATCCTTCACTTATATGGAAGTGGGAGGAAAGTCGGATCCTCTCAGGAGGAAAGTTAGGATCTTCTACACTCCTTGTTTTCTCTCAGGCTTTGGAGTGAATGGCCACAGGTCCACGCCTAGCCATGGGCCACCCCACTCTTCGCCCCATTATGACCTGTGGATCTTTGGCGTGATGAGTTCCTGCCACCAACCACAAAAGCAACGCAGGCATTCCTGACCAGGAATGGGTGCAAAGTCCACCCCTGCCCACCATTCCCCTTTGGCCCCGGCAGGGAGAGAGAGAGACTATCTGGAATGGTGGGGACCCTAAGAAGGAGCAGAGCTGTGAGATGGGGTGGGGGGAGAGGCTGTACTGGCTGTGGCCACCAGGGGGTGCCAGTCCCCACCAGGAAGCCAGTTTCCCTCTGCAGCCCTTGGGCCCCTTTCCCAGGAGGACTCACCCACTCAGAGAAGAGGCCTGGCCTGGCCTGGCCACAGGTCTTTGCTGGGGCCCTGGATGCCTGGAGTCTGTAGAGGCGGCACAGGAGGAAGCCACTGAAGGTGGGAGAAGGCAGGCCAGGGGAGGCAAGAGCTGAGCTTGAGGGTACCTGGGTGAGCACTGAAGATTCTGGCACCCACTCCCACACATGCTCTTGGGTGGCTTGTGGGAACAGGGTTAGGGGTGCTCTGGACCATGCTATGGGGGCTTTGCACCAAAACCTTTACACTCTTCACTAAATCTTCACAACTCTGGGGTAGGTAGTGTCCCCATTTTACAGACGAGGAGAGAGAAGCCCAGAGAAATCACAGCCAGGGCGAAGACTCTCACTGGACTGTGAAGCCGAGGCTCTTCATTGCCACCTACCAGGGAATTTGGAGCTCACCGGAAATGGGCTATACAATCTTCTCAAGTTGAACTAAGCCAACTGGGGAGCCTCAAAGCCAGGCATGGCTTACAAGATGGGCAAATACAGGCACTGAGCTGGGGTGGGCCACCCGCCCCCCCTCACCTTTGGGTGATTCCTCAAAGGTCCAGTCCAGCTGCAGGTCTGCGGGAGCAGAAAGGACCAGATCAGGGGTGGGGCAGCAAGTGAGGATGGCGAGCCCCGTGAGGCTGCCTCAGCGGCTCCCAGCCGTCCTCCTGCCTAGGGCAGGGGACGAGGGGCTGAGTCAGGGCCCGAAGAATGTCCCGAGGGAGGGAAGGAATTAGGAGGGCAGTTCTCTGGAGGGTTTGAAATGCCTCTGGCAGACTTAGGGCCTGAGTGAGCCAACCCAGGCGGTGGACTTGCCCAAACCCTCCTGCTCCTCCCTCCCTGCGTTCCCACACACACCCTTTCCCTGACCTTTGTAAACCGGCCCTCACCAAGTCAGGTTAGGGAAATTCCACTTCTCCTTCTCCCTCTTTCCCTTTCTGCACCCTCTTCTCAATGCTGGTCCTTCCCCCTTTGCCCAGATCCACTCCTCATGGTGCTCATGACTTTCCGGGGCCTCCTAGGAAAAGCTACTGACCCACCAACCTACTTGATCCCCTTGGCATGCAGACGTGCCACAACAGCCCTTGTCTTAAACGCAGACCAAAATGCCTCTCTCCAGATCCCATACCGTCCTCCAGCTCCAGGACCGTTTTGTTTTCCTTTGCAGCAAAGAGTTGGCCATAACAAATTCACTGTCTTCAATTCCCCTTTTCCATAAGTAAATTTTCAGCCCCACCACGATTGCCCCAATCACTCTTAAGAAAGATGCCAGTGACCTCCATGTTATCAAATCAAAATACTTGGCCCATCAGCAACATCTGTCACAGTGGATCATTCCTCCTTGAAATTCCTTTTTCATGTCGCTTCAGGAAGACAACTCTGGGTCTCCTCTCTGCTGTACCTTCTTAGTCTGTTTGGCTGACTTCTGCTCATCTCTCAAACCTCTACACATCCAAGTGCCTCAGGGCTTAGTGCTTGGGCCTCTGTCTGTCTCCCCAGGTGATCCTGTCTAGTCTTCTGGCCTAAAAAACCCCATCCATTACAGGGATTCACATCAGAATTAGTTGGGGAGCTTTCAATCAAAATCTCTTTGAGTGAATCCCAGGTATTTCCATCTGCAGCTTAAGCCTCACCCCTGAACTACAGACTTGCATATTAACTGCCTACTTGACATCTCCAACCAGATGGACCTCATCGAAAACTGAATGCCTCTTAGACCGTACCTCCCTCAGTCCTCCCTGCATTTGGAAGCAACATCCTTTGACTTGCTCAGGTTTCAAGTCATCCTTGACTTCTTTTATTCATGCCACATCCACTCTATCAGCAGATTCTCATGACTGTCTCCAGAATCCCACCAGGCCCGCTGCTACCTGCCCTGGTCTGACACCCTGTCGGCCTCTAGCCTGGATGAAAGCCAGGCCCCCTAAGTGGTCTGCTGTGTCCTTCACTGCCTCATCTCCCACCCAAGCTGGCAGCCAGAGTGAGCCTTCAGAGCATGTCACTCTTCTGTGCTCAGAAACTCCCCTTGGCTCCTTCGCTCTTGCAGAGTAAAAGTCAAAGCCCTGACCAGGGCCCCGAAGGCCCTCCGTGACCAGATCCCGTCACTCTGACTCTGTCTCCCACCGATGCCCCTCTCACTCCAGTCCAGCCTCTCCTTGCTGCTCCAGAACTGGCCAGGTCTGCTCCTGCCCCTGGGTCTCTGCTGTTTCCCCTGCTGCCAGGCTCCTCGCCTGGCTCCGTAGGGCTGGCTCCTTCCCTCCCTCAGCTCTCGGCTCACATGCCACCTATCAGGGCCTTCCCTCACCAGCCTGCACTGGGCACTGACCTTTGCTTTTTCTCCCTTGCCCTTACCACCATCTGCCATATTAAATATGTATCTGTTTATTCTCCCTCTGTCTTAAGCTTCACTGGAGAAGTGACATTCTTTTTTATTCCCTGTTTCATCTTCAGCACCTAGAATAGTGCTCGGCACACAGTAAGTGCTCAATAGATGGTCAGGGGACTGACTGAACAAATGAGTGACTGCATGGCTTCCCAGTACTCTCAGAGGAGATGAGGGACAGTGTGTCATCATTGTCCTCCCAAGGACACAGAAGAGTTTGGAGACTCCTCCCCTTTGGCCTATTTTAGGGAGGACCCACCACAGAGCCTGGGGTGGGTGGAGAAGACCTCCCAGAGCCGCTAAGTTCCCTTTTCTGCCCCTCTGTACCCCAGCCCCAGGGGCTGGAGCCCACTCAGCAGAGACAGGGACCTAGAAGGGTGTCTCACCTGGCATTTTCCGGTGAATCTGCTGGAACATTCTCCGGTACCAGTCCCTGGGGCTATCAACACTCTGGGATCAGAAAAGACAAAGTCAGGCCACCTTCTTAATAGGAAGCCACAGAAGTTTTTCCTTCCTGAGTCCTTTCTCTGGCCACCTTTGAAGTGGGCAGGCTGTTGTGATAGGTCTAATAAAGTAACTTCATATGGCACATTACATATGAATAAGGTGTAGAGAAGGATCTCCCTCAGTGGTGATCCATCCCGAGGCTGTAAGATTTGGGGTGATTTCTGTTTTTTCTCTTTGCTTTCCTATATCTCTGATGTTTCTACAACAAACATGTATTTCTATGTAATGACAAACAAATGCAATAATATAGGGGTAGAATGGCATTTCACAGCTGAGACTGAAAACAGCCCTGGGAGGTATGTTACCTACTTCAGTTTCAGATGCAGAACTGAAGGCAGGCAGCTGGAAGAAGGGCAGGGCCCTCGGAGCCTGGGCCCTGGATCCTTCCAAGCCTGCCACAGTGTAAGGGCATCTCACTCAGGACTCTGCCGGCTCATTCAGCCCAGTCATTCACTTAGCGGCTGTGCCAGGCCCTGGGGCTATGAACAGAGGGGGTCCCTGCCCGGGGCAGCCCTTACAGCAGGGACTCTGCACCTCTGAGAACCTGGGGGAGCATTCTAGATCTCCCCTTCCCCCACAGATCACTTGTGCAACTCAGACCACAAGAGCGCTTGTCATTTATGTGGTTCCACCCATCATGGTGGAACCGCTGCTTTAGTCTGAAATGGTTTGGGTGCATTCTTGGTTGCTCCCACTTTAATTCACAGAAGTGGAGCTCAGCGTTAGGTCCCTGGGCCCCATGATCAGTGGCCCCCAGCCCTGGACTCACAGATCGGGGGGCAATAGGCATGCCGCTCTCATCCACAGGCCCAATTCCCTCATATTTGACCCAGCGCTTGTCCCGACGCTTGCTGTCCTTGGTCCATGTGGCTGACCAATTCTGGGGATGCTGGGAGGCAGGGATCTTCTGGCTCCCCGAGGGCTGGCTGCCAGGACCGGGCCAGGTCTGATACCAAGCAGGGTCTGTAGGGAATGAGCAGCAGAGCATTAGCAATGGGTAGGGGCCCCACCTGGACTTGTTTGTTCCTTAGCTCTTCAGAACATTGATCCTGTGGGTTCAAAAGTTTCAACATCTTGTTTGTTTGACTTGATGAGACAGACTCTACAGCCTTCCCCATTCCCTGCAGGACCAGAGGCCTTTGTTTATTTTTTAGTTAAAGTAAATGAAAATGGATTTTGTCTTGAGAAATCTGTGCCAGTGTCCGCCCTATCCTTTCCGAGGGCTGTCCTAAAAGCCTTCAGAATGAGGGCTAGGAATCATTACTTGCAGAGAATGCTGGGGACAATCCTAGCTGGGAAGGCAGCAGGGTGGCAGAAAAGACACTGGGCTTGAAAGGGGGACAAAGAATTCAGACACCAACTCTACCACCTACTGACCGTGTGACCTGGGGCCCAGTAAGCAACCACTCGGTGCCTCTGTTTCCACTTCTGTAAAACGAGGGGAATCATGGCAAACATCCAGAGAGATCTGGTGTGTATGACCGTGCCCAGCACAGTGCCTGACACACAGTCACAAGGCTCTTGAAGAGGGACAGAAACTCATTCACCAGACATGGTGACTGTGTCCTCAACTTCCCCAGAACCTTCAGGCCCCAAGTCACCAGAGTTGCAGCAAAAGAGTGTCGGGGCTGGAAGGACCAGGGTCTGAATCTCAGCTCGGACTCGGACTCTGACTGAACATCTCTGAGACTCTGGTTCCTCGCTGGGAAAAGTTTGATAATTGTACCTTATCTTTCTAGGACATCAAGGGATTAAATGAGAGAAGGCTTAGTGTGTCTTTTCAGTGTCCCGCATGTTCTAAGCATTCAACAATTATTTGTTAAATGAATAAACTACTTGACACAGTGCCTGCCTCAGTGAGATGCTCAATAAAGGATGTCTGCCTCCTCAGGAAAGGGGTCCCCAGGGTTGACCTGCACCCAGGAGGTCCTGGGGTCTTCTGGACTCCATGGCCCAGGCTGGGATGACTTGTAGGAGCCCAGGGGCTGACAGGCTCTCAGAGCTGCCTCTCCAAACTTCGGCTTGGCTGGTGAGTCCAGACTTGTGCGGTTTGGCCCCCTGCTCTTTCTGCAGCCAACATATGCTCACATTCCTCCACCCTTCCATCCCCAGTCCAAGTTATTCCTCAGCCTGCTAGAGGTCCCCATGCCTCCCAAGGCAGTGTCCCCTGCACACTTCCTTCCGCTGGCAGGGAAGGGATGCATCAGCCTGCTGTCTCCCTCAGCAGATTTCACACTCACAGGCCATCAGTGTTCACACAGAGAAGGGCAGCTAGATGAGCTCAGAGGCCCGGGACCTTGATAGCCCTCCATGCCCCTCCTGCCCATCACAGGGTGGTGCCAGATGGCAGGGCCCAGGAGGCTCTGATCCCCCCACCCCTGACATGGGACTCCTGGAGCAGGTTTTCCTGAGCAGACCTACCTGGGTGCCGGGAAGCATCTCTCCTCTGGGGGACGTACCCCTTGCACACGGTCCTGGGCGCAGGGTCATGAAACTGGAAATTAAGGGTATTGGAGCCACCATTCCGGATCACAGGCACCTGTGGGGAGGGGCCAGGAGCTGCAGCTCAGGCCCGAAAGTTCCGCAGAAGGGTGGCAAGCGCAGACACAGTTTACCCCACGGTGAGGGCTGGAGGGCCAGCCAGACCCCTTCGCTGGTAGCCAGTGAGGCTCTCTAGAGCTGTCTTCTGCCACTTCCCTCCATTCCTTTAATCCTCCTGCTCCCTCACCTGTCCTTGGAGGTCCCCGTCCACCCCGGGCCCACAGGAACCCTCTCCTCACTGTCTCACTCACCCGTGCCCCCCGGGAGGACGACCCTCTGTGGGCCCGGAGATTGCCAGGGAGGAGGTGGTCCAGGCTGAGCCCAGCCGCGAGGTTGCAGGGTGGGGCCTGCATGCTTGGGTCAAGGTTGGGGGGCTCCGGGTGTGCCAGCTGCTCATCTGTGTGTCCTCTGTGTGGAAGGAAGGAGGAAGGGGAAGCCCTGCTGGGCTCAGCCGCCTGTGCCCTCTGGGCTCAACCTTGGGGGCGGGGAGGGGGCAGCGGTGGGGGAGCTCAAGGACCCAGGAAACAGGCCTCTGTGGGCCCTGGACTGCAGGCTGCCCAGCCGGCCCCCAGAGGCACAAAGGGCTGCTTGTTAGGCCTGGGCAGGAGCTCGGGGTGGGCTTGGGGGAGGGGAGGCTAGCGAGGAGGAGGGCGGCTGGCTGGGAGCGGGCCCGCTGGACAAAGCCTTGGGCACACGGGCCCTCTCACTGCACAGTGTGGCCTGCTTCCCCAAACGGAAGGCAGAGGGGACTGGGGCAGCTGGCTCAGGAGGGCCTGGGCATTCAGGACTTTGTTCCAGGCCCCTCTCCCTCCTCCAGTCCCTCCATGAGCATCTGCTTGCCAGCAGGCACAAGGCCTTACTTGGGCTGCGGGAGAGGCCCAGAACAACAGCAACCCCCCCCACCACCCCACCCCCACCCCCACCCCCACCACTGCCCAGCAGGGCCAAGGTTATGGGAGGGGGAGAGTGTGGGGGCATTTCCAGGCAGAAGGAACCACTCCTTCTGAGCTCAAAGGAGTATCAGCTCCCTTCTTTGGCTTTCTTCCCTGGAACTGAAGCCTCAGAGGGCTCAGGGGGCCAGTGAGGGGTGGGATGGAAAGCAAAGCAGTGGATAGGAGCCAAGTGGGACTTGCTCATGGAGACGTGGTGCTGAGTGTCCCCCACCCCCACACACCACTTTCTTTTATACCTCCAAGCTGGTTTTGTTTTTTTAAGATTTTTTTTAAAGTAATCTCTACACCCAATGTGGGGCTTAAACTCACAACCCCAAGATTAAGTGTTGCACACTCTACCAGCTGAGCCAGCCAGGTGTTCCTATCCTCCAGAGGGCTTTTTTGAACAGAGGGTCTTCCTGGCAGCACCATGCCTGACTGGCAGGCCTGGTTCTTCTCTCCCATGCAAAGGTTACTCCAGGCACCCAGGAGATGGAGGTGGTCAGGCTGTCCAACAGGGCTTTTCTACCCTGCGGGCTGTGGTGCAGAACTGAGCCTCCTCACCTGTGCAGCTGGACTGGACCAGAGCTGAGCCAACCTCCACTGCTGGGGCCAGACCCATCCTGGCCTTTGTGTTTGGAGTTAGGCTTGCATGTGCCTGTGGGGTATGGGGGCTCACGAGAAGGCCCAGAGGGCCTGGTGAGGTGCTGTGTTTGTGTGTGGTGAAATGGGAGTACAGTGCTGTGAGTGTGACTTGTGAGAGGTACCACAGGGCTAGGAGGTTATGTGAGCAGCTTGGGAGTTGTGGGTACAGAGGGATGTCAACTGAATGGTAGTGGGGGGTATGCAATGAGGGTTCATATGAGCAGCACAAGAACTGTGGAGACTAGAGGGGGTGAAGTTACTTACAATAGCGGGCTGTGATTACTTCTGTACCCAGTTCCTGCTCAGGCCACAAGGGCTGAAGGGTACAGACAAGGCTGATGACAGGTCCCTGTCTCTGTTCTGAGTGGGGATTTGAAAGACCTACTGGGGACATAGCTTTTCCATGCTCATCCCTGGCTGTGGGGGGGGGGGGGCGGGGGAGTGAGGGCTGGGGCTGGAGGAGGGGCTGCTCACCAGCTGGATCCAATTAGGACTCCGACCAAAAGCAAAACATGCGGACACACCCCAGTTCCTGCTGTTTTCCCTCCCCTTGAGGGGGAAATTGAGGCAGGGGAGAGCAGGAGATCCAGAGGCATGAGGCAGGCTGGTTCCTAGCAGCAACCCCTCCCTTCCCAGCTGACTGCTTGAGGCCAAGTTGCATGGTCAGCATCAGCAGTCCCAACCATCAGCTGACCCCGGCCTCCTTCCCTCTCCTCCTGACCCACCCTTCCCTGCTCAATGAGAACTGCCCTCTAGTAGTTTGGGGAGGACAGGAGGTCCCCCCATACCATCCAATTTTCAGGGGTTACTGATCCTTGGTGGCCTAGCTTGCCTCTCCCCAACTCTTGCCTGTGGCAGGCAACCTCCAGAGACAGACAGGGGTGTGTGGGGAAGAGTGGGCTCACTTTTTCTCTCAGTGGCTGTGCCAGGAGAAACTAAAAGCCACTTCTCATAGACAGATGGGGGCATGGAGGCATTGGTCCTGCATCTGGCCGAGGACAGAGAGGTGCCAGGAAATCTCTGGGGTCCTCCCAGAATTCTGGCAGTCCTTTGCCCAAAGGGCTGGAAGATGTGAAGTCTCCACTGTTTGTAGTTGGCAGACTCCTTTCCATCTCCAAGTATGGCCATGACCTTGGGGGCTTGGCCCTAGGAGCTTTTCCAGGTATTTTCCAGTTACAAAACCACGTGGACAAAGACAGGTTTTCTCGAATTTCGCCTTTTCCAGATTGAGAGGGGACTTCTTCACCTCTTTCCACCCTGGAGATGCGGACGAGGACTCCCAGGGGGACGGGCACTCTGCCTTCCCTTCGGGTTGGGCACGGGTCCCTCCCCGCCGCGGGCCCCCGCCTCTTCTCCGCCCCCTCCCCTTCCCGGCACCTACCTTCCCCAGCGAGCAGGTGGCACCGACTGAGGACGCCGGGGAGGGCAGAAGCATCTCTGCCCCGGCTTCTGCCTGGTGCGGCCGCGGCGAGCCCTCGAGAAGGTAGGGCAGGGAGAAGTCCGGGCTGTGCCGCTCGCCCTCGTGACCGGGTCAGGACGGGCTCCGCGAGGCAGGGCGCGGGAGGAGGAAGAGGGAGATCGACGGGGCGGAGGGCACGCGCAGGGAGGGAGGACCGCGAGAGGCGCGCGGGCGGGCGGCGCAGTTTGTCTCCTTCCAATCTGTGCTGTGGGCCGCGCGGGTAGGGTGGAGGGGCCGGCGACTCCCTCTCCAGCCTGCGGGGCGGGGGCTGGGGCCGGCCGGCTGGGGCTGCTAGTGCCCTCCGTCGGGCCGCGCGACGGGGACGAAGTGGCCCCCTGCCGAGGGGGCCGGACCGGCCGCGGGCGGCGCCGGGAGGGGCCGCCAAGGGTCCCTGGGGAGCTCGCTCTGGTTTCCCAGCTGGCTTCTCCGGCCCCCACCGCAGGGCTGGCGTCCGAGCGGGGGGTGCGTGTGTTGGGGGGGGTGGCGAGCGCCACTCAGAGTTTCCAGCGACATTTCCAGCGTGTGGGAAGGGAGCCCTGCATGGCGGAGCCAGGACGGAGGGCAGGAATGATTAAAGATCCCGGGTCAAGCCAGCAACTGATACCGGCCCGGCAGCCTCGCAGACAGGACCGAGATGCAGACAGGCTGGGGCCGAGATAAGGGCACCCCAACAAGTAGGGTGGCTCAGCGGACCGAGTTAAGGTCCCGCCGGCTCCTTCCCCACTTGGGGAGATTTTGTGCTTTCGTAAGCGCGCGTCCGGGCGTGTGCAAACAAACACACGCACACAGATGGCGCGTGCACCAGCAAATGGGCGGATGCTCACACGTGCAAGCACCGATGAGGGCAGCCCGGGGAGGAAATCGGCCTTAGGGAGCGGCCCCCTGGGCGTGCCGCGGCCCTGAAGAGGATGAGGGCGGGGTCCCTTTGGCGGGGATGGGGTTACCAGGGTCTTGGTGTTCCCATACACCGTGTTTGTTTTGATCTTGCTGCTTTTCCGCTGTTCCCGCTGCTCTGACACCAGTCTCAAGAGCCTGCGCCCATTGGCTCCCAACCCCTCTGGCCATCCCGTCTTTCCCTTCTCCTCCAAGCCTCTGTGTCTGCACAGAGCATGTTACAGAATGTGAAGGTGCTTAACGAATGTTTACTGGGAATGGAAAAACTGGAGTACTTCTTAGCCCTTGGCTTGGTTCTGGGACCCAAGCCCCAAACCAACCAAATAGCAAGTAGTTATCGGGCAATTTCACATCCATCTGGGGAGTGATCAGTGATAAATTATAAAAATATGAAAACATTTATTGCATGCCTACTGGGTGTAAGACTGGTGTCCTGAGACCACCATGCACTTTAGGGTGTTTTCCAACAACATCATTCAACTCAAAAGTGGAGAAGGAAGGGAATGGAGAAAAGATGAAAAAAAATTTTAATTCCACCATTATTGATGCTATTAGCTTTATCTTTTCTCAATTCAGTTAAAAGAGCTCTCCCCGTGTGGTGAACCAGCTTGAAACAATATCACATGTGAAAGAGGAAGGCGGCATGTTTAGGTTGTGCAGAAGCTTGAGAGACAGGCATGCTGGCTAGCATCCCCTATCTGCAGGGCTGCCATGTGGAAACGGAATGGCTGCACTAGCAGAAGTGGGACCCTTGGGTGCATACTTGGAAGCAGATCCAAGATTTCCAACGAAGAACTTCAAGGAGGATTACAGGGATTCCAAGCCTACTGATCATTGGGCATCTCTCTAAAAGTAAGGACTGCATTGAGAAGGGAGCTGAATGAGGTCACCTTTAAAGCCCCTTCCAAGAATCTCTGATTCTCCAGGAAAGCCGAAGGATGGGATGGGTAGCCCCGACCCACAGAAGACAGCTGCAGAAAGGAGTGTAGGCATTCTGGGACTTCTTGAGGACAGGCAGCAGTGCACTGTCCTACCCCTAAAGCTTGGATACTTACCTACCCACCCTCAGCACCATCCTCCTCCCTCCCTCAGGGATAAAATATATGCCCGCTTCCTTGTCACCAGTTTTTTTTCCCACCTGTCAGAATCCTTGCGACTAAGAAGGGCCACATCTCTTTCATGTTCATCCTTGCTCTCCAAAGATGGTGAAGCTGAAGATCTTCCAATTCCAGGAATCCTGGCCATACCCTCTCTCACCAGCAGCGAGCGTCTCTTATTCTCTAGGGCTCTGACCTGGACTCCAAGATAAATATTTAATGTAGAGGGTGCAGCTGAGCTGACAAAGGTCCTTACTTCCTGTTTCTCACAGAGGGAGGTAGCAGCCAGGGGTGAGGAGCTAGGGACTGGCTACCAGTTTCATCTCTATGGGAATAGGGAGTCCAGTAAACAGCTTTGTAGGAGGAGGCGGGTGGGCCCACTGGAGACCTGAATCTTTCTCCTGAGCTGCTCTGACTTCTGCCTACTTAGGCCCAGGCTCTGCTGGGCTTATCACCTTTCTCAGGTCAGAACCTGCTCTGCCCTGGTACCAGTGGAAATCACTCTCGTTCCGAGTCTTAGGCCATGTGCTTGGACCAAGGACGAGCTGTAACAGGATCCCAGGATAATGTTCCCTGGTGGCCATCGGGCCTCATAGCAAAGAGGACGAGAGATTGGTAGGAGCATAGAGCATAAGGAATCTTGACCGATTCCTCCCTTTCTGCACATATTTAGGGAGAAGACTCCCTCCTCTGAAAAGTGGAAGATTATAGCGGGGAGGGGAAGTAGCAAAGTCCAGGGATGTAGCCAAGAACCAGTTATCTGATTTCTCAACCCCTCCCTCCAAGCCTCAGTTCTACTTGCTGCCAGCTGAACCCCGCAGACGGCTGGCATGGTTTAGGGAGAGGCTGTCCGAGGTGACCTGGCTGTTGTCAACAACAAAGAGATTCTTTTCATCCCAATGTACTATCTCTGCTCTGGTGACTCCCTTATCTAACAGGGACCTCCCTCCCTGTGACTCTTCCCCTATCTCTGGCACTGCCTTCTGTCAGGGGGCTGCCTCTGCCTTCTCAGAGTCACCTGAGCCATAGTAAACACAGTTACATAACTGCTCTGTTTTTCCTAGCTATCTGATCCTGGTCAGCAGTATGCCCCATCCCCACCCCCACTCCTCAAGCCTGCCACCTTTTGTTCTGTGAATTCTCCCCAGGTGGCACCCATGTCAACAGAGACCCGTCCATGCCCACCACACTAAGGGATGATTAGCCAAGAGACTCCCAATAGATGTGGCTCTTCACATGGAGCGGGAGAAGAAGGTGGCTGTTCATACAGGAATATGGGTCACTCTGAAAACCGACCTCTGTCACCAAGAAAAAGGACGAATGGAAAGAGCCCTTAAGTGGCTTTTTATTGTAATCGAGCAGAGAATTCAGTTTTATTTCTCAAGTGGAAAAAAGGAAGCCAGGGATCCCAGAAGACATACACCTGAACTCTCAGTTTCTGGAGAAGGATCTTTATCTAGTACTGGGCGTCTGGCATTTGAATGTCACACTCTGAGATCTGCCCTGAGCAGCTAAGTGGCTTCCTGGCCCTGTGCCTCAGTCCTCCCACATTAGGCAAAGGAAGGGCATCTGCTATTCCTTCCCTTCTCCTCCACAGGGATGAACTCTGGCATATTTTTTGGTTAGGCTTTGAGTAGGTTTTTAATTTGTGCTCTCAGAAGACTGTTCTCTTTCTGCCAGAGGAACTGAGCGAGCAGACCAGAATGGAGGGAAAAAATATCCCTCGCAGGTGAGATATGGTCCGCACCTGGAGGCCCGGGTGTGTGAGCAGACCCTCACGGGAGTGGAGAATGGCAGCTTTCGGGCCTGCCTTGTGCACGTCTCTCCGTAGCATCATGTAGGCAGGGTTCTCAGAGTCAGTCACATCCCAACCCCGGAGGCTGCGAAAGAACTCAGCCTTCTGCCCAATTGTCTAGGCTATCTTCAAGGAAGCCTTTACACTGACATCACGTCAGCGGCTGTTCTCGCTCCCTCCTTTTATGGATAAGCAAACAAGCATCATGTGCAAATGGGGTGTCTTTGAGAACTGAGCTGGATGAACCTCTTTCAGTTCTCAGGAAAGAAAGAAAGAGCGAGTGGCTGTCAGTTCTTTAGAAAGCAGATTTTATGAGGGAAGGATAAATAAGTGATGACCTCAGAGAGAAAACCCAGCCAAGTGAACTCAGCCACAAAGAAGGGCACACAGAGCAGGGGCTGGAAAACTAGGTCTGCATCAACCTTCTTTCCTGGCGCAGGTAAACAGAGATAAGGAAGATAAGAGGGTTGGTTTGTTGATCAGAGCACGACTTCACGGGGTCTACTGGCCTCCAAAGAATAACCTGGTCTTCCCACTTCTTGAATTCTATGACGAACCTTCTCTTGAACTGCATCAACATCAAAAAGATTGTCTAATTTACCACTACGTTATTAATCTACTGGACCCAAATTAATTAGTTTCTCTCTAAAACCTGCAAGTCATGACAGAAAACCCAGGAAGACCACATAATTACATATAGCAGGCAAGAAGGTAGGGATTGAATCTACATGTGGTGGGAGGTAAATAGGAGTTTGCATTTTAGTTCTTAATTTCCAGGATTTTAAATAACTTTTTTCACAACTCTGGAAATAAGGGCAAACATTGCCTCATTTTACTGAAGGCTTAGCTGAGGTATAAGGACATTGCTAAGTCAGGACGCTCTTTGGATAACAAAGATCCCAAAATGCATACCAAGCTTATTTGAAATTAGGAATCTGGGCTTGTTTTCCGGCCTGTAAACTGCACTGTGGCCCTTGACAGGGGTTGTACTTACAGTACAATTGCCTTACTCGGGCCTGGCAGGGCCTGGATTCAGACTTTCTGCCTCTCCTGCCAGAATTGATAAAATGCCCTCATGGATACATTTATCCTCTCCAAGGGCCCTGGGTGCTTCTCCTCCCCTCCATCCTCCACTTATTTTCCCTTGTGAATCCGCAGTGCCTCATGATATTTCTACTTTGGGGAGGAATCAAAAGGCTGGTTTTACACTTCCTTTTCTTGTTAGTCCAGCTCCAAATTCAATGCCTCTCTTGCTCCTTTGACTTTTCCCAAGATGGAACTCATGCCTGTGTATTATTAGGATCATATGCAGAGTTATTAAATTACTACAATAAAAATTATTTTTATCTTTTGTAAACACAACATGTTTTCTGGGATGTCTTTCTTCCTTTTCTACAAGTAGTGGCCTCTGCCAGAGAAGCCACAGGGGGAGCTGGGACTTGAGCATGAGTTAGTGGTGGTCAGAGTGCAGGGAAGGAGGGTGGGCCAAGGCAGTAGATTCTGAGTGGGAGAAGCAACACTGCAACCCCCAAAGCCTATTTAAAACTACAGAAAAGACTGAAGAGGTAAGGGAAAGAGGTCTTTTTTTTGTGATGAGATTCCTTTATCAGAGACCAGACCAGACATCAAACATCAGGCTTTCCCCTGATTTCTGGAATTATTAAATGGGTAAGAGCCAAATATTAAGTGTCTCTACCAGGAAATAAAGGAAATAAAGACACAGGAAGGCAATAAAGTTATCATTTAATTTTAACAGTATTTTTTTAAGATGACTTCCAATTTACAATAAGAAAGTTTTAACAAATTAATTTCTTGATCACAAAAAAGACTAGTTAATTTCTGCCAATAAATAACATTTCCACCATTTTCTTTAACCTAACGAAAAGCAAGAAAAAGCAAGTAATCTCTCAGCACAAGCGAATAATCCATCATTCAGAAAAGCCTTTTAAAAAATGACATCATGAGCTAATCTATGTCTGACCACCTTTTAGGAAGAAAAACCAGGATCCTTTCTTGGAAAATGCCTGCTAACATTTCCATTGGGAAAAATACTATTGGTCACAGTGCATTGAGAAAGGAAAAGTAAGGCGTTGATGATGGCATCTTCAAAAAGGTTCTCTGACAGAACAAAAAACCTGTCTTTATTGCTACAAATCAAAATATATGGTAGGCCTCCTTCTTATTACATGCACTTTCAGTTTAACATGCAAAAAAAACCCCCACAAAATGTTACTTGGAGATAGCTATGTCAAGGAAGTGAAGGGGATCTGGGCAAGAACTTACAGGAAGGCAGTGTGCATGGCCCTACTTTAGAGCTGCTCAGAGGGATGGTCCACCTCCATGTCCTTGCTTCTTGATCTTAAGCCTTGACTTGTCATGAGGGTATTGAAGAGGAGAAGATGCATAACCCTGTCTCAGACAAAGGTGTTATTTAGCAAGTCTTGCCAAGGTTGCTGGGGCATGAGGCCAAGGCCTCCCAGGAGGGAATATCCTCACCAGTATCATCTTTACCTTTGTGACTGCATAGATGAAGGCAGTAAGCCTGGCCCCATTCACTTTGGCTGGTTAGACATAGGCGGGCAGGCCATGAGTCTCAGAGTAACACAGGTTTCCCTCTTTCACACTCTGGCAAAGGCACAAAGCTCTATTGTTAACACAGTTCTCTGAACAACTCAATAGTAACAACCCTTTTTTTCCAACTACAAAATTTTCTTCCTCTATACACATCTGCTCTTTCTTCTGGCTTTCCTATGAGTGTTTGATCACAGCAGTGCTGAAGAGGGACAGTGGCAATACAGTGTTTTGGAACTACGCTTCACGTCATTCAGACCCTCCTCTGGCTCTTGTTGGGGCCCCACAGGCTGCCCTTTACTCCCTCTTACAGTAGACTTCAGGAAAGATGTGGACCAGGTGCCAGGCAAGATGGTATCCATCATTATAACCACAAATGATTTAGGAACTTGGAGCCTCATTCCCATAACTGGGGTTTTGGGTTTACCTTCCCTCTGAAATTGTTTCTGCCTAGATATGAAAAGCTGAATAATGCTCTGAAAAAAACTTGGGTTCCACTGTTACTGTAACAACTATAATAAATATTGGGGATTCTAGAATGATGTCTTAACAAGTCTTTATGGGTTCAGAAATAATTTTCAATATAAAAACTGGAGAAAAAATCTGATAATACAAAGAAAAACTATAGTCAATCTGAGGCAAGCTCTTCCTAAACCTAAACTGTTTTACTTAAACATTTAATTCTCAAGAGCTTGAGTTTTATATTTATAAGATAGAGTACAGTCAAAAATTCTGGAGATCAGCTACAATATTTATACCAAACAAAGGAGGGTGGAGGGAAGTGATTTTAGCCTTACTCCTTCTGAGAAGCTGGACACCCTTGACCATCTAAGCCCAGCTGCATGTCACATGAGCATGGTTTATAATATTTTTCTTATGAAGAGCAGCTGCCTCAAACTTTGTGTTTTAAAATTACTTAGAAGAGGATCTATGGGGTAAAGGCTGAAAGACCCCAAAGTTCCCTAATTTTAGAATTCTCACGCTTGCTCCTTAATGACATAAATGATAATATTCTGTTGGCAAAACAAATAAAAGGATTTTTCTTTTCCTATTTTGAACAGTGTCAGAAAGCCATACCTAAGTTATTAGGATAAGAAATCAAATCTCTGCTATTGACAGGAACTTGCTTCACTGAACCACAAATGTTTGTGTAGGAACAGAAGAGGCAATGTAAATATAGATAGAAGGATATGAGAAATACTGATATTCCTGGAGAGCCTGATTCTCCTATCCCTAGGCAAGGAGCCAGATCAAGCCCATTAGAGTATGATACGTAAGTTTCACTTTGCCAGTCAGTATCCAGTCACACAAGGCCAGCGAATCAGCAATGTCTGTCCCATAACCAAGCGTTTGCCTTGAGGTTTTAAAGAAAACTGAGGCTGCTTTTGTTTTAGCATTCCATTAAACACACACACACACACACACACACACACACACACACACACACACCCTTGGTTTCTTGGGTTGTTTTTGCTCTAAATATTCAGAACACAGAGATTTAAAAAAGGATGCATGTTTTAAGCTTGTGTTAGATGAGTTTTCAAATTTTTATTTAAAAAAACAGTCATCTGATCAATTTGAAATTTCATATGACGTAGATGTAAAACAAAATTAGAAAAACTGGTCCTTGGGTAGTGTCATTTTTTAAATGTATGTAAAAGTATTTAAATGTAAAAGTAAAGTATACAAAAGGGTCCTCCAACATGTTTAGGGAACTGATATAAGAAGTGTTTTTCTCCCCCCAGATGAGAGGAGTTGATGAAAATAATGTCCCTATGGACCTTAAAGTGAAGGAGAACAAGAGAAAAGTGTTTTTAGTATCTTTAAGACACGTGGGGGGAAGATTTAATAAAACAGAAGAGGCTTTGAAAATGGGGTACTGCAGAGCTCTGACAGCAGTTAAAATGTTTGAAATGACGGCCTTCGGCAAACCCGGAACAGGCAACCAGCCATCCTGGGAGCTACTGTTTAGATTAAAACATTCGAAAATATGTTAAAAACTCTCCAATGAAGTCTAAAGTGAAGAACAAGTACTGTTATCATAATATGTATGTGTGTGTGTGTATATATATATATATATATATATATATCCCCAAGGCTCATGCCTTCTAAACCGTCTTGACTCATAGGTGCAAATACAGATGAAAGTATAGATTGGCGGTCTCACTTTCAGAAGCTAGCTGTATCACATGGAGACACATTTATACACAACTTTCTAAATTGTTGAAGCATACACCCCAACTTTCTATAGAACATAAGAAATACCTCTACCTTTAGAATTCAACAGAATTTGAGTTTTCAAACCTAACTTCCTTGTTGCTTTATTGTAAACTCACTCCGATTTTCTTGAATCATGACTTCTTACCTCTCTGGCTGACCCCTCCACAGCTCACAGGGTACCTGTAAAATACATCCTTTTTTTTTTTTTTTTGGAGTATAGTGGATACACGTTACACTTCAGATGTACAACTTAGTGATTTGACAAGTTTATATATCATGCTATGTTTATCACAAGTGTAGCTACCAATCTGTCCCCTTACATCCCTATTATGGTATCACTGACTGTATTTCTTACGCTATGCCTTTTATTCCATGACTTATTCATTTATAACTGGAGGCCTGGATCTCCCTCTCGCCTTCACCCATTCTGCCCATCCCCCCTCCACTCTGGCAACCCTCAGTTTGTTCTCTGTATTTATAGGTCTTTTGCCATGCCTCTGTCAAGGAAACTTGCTTTTCTCTCTTTTTTTTAATTTTTTTTTAAAGATTTTTTATTTATTCATTTGAGACACAGAGATACAGAGAGAGACAGCACATGAGCAGGGGGAGACGCAGAGGGAGAGCGAGAAGCAGGCTCCCCGCTGAGCCAGGAGCCTGACACAGGGCTCCATCCCAGGACCCTGGGATCATGACTTGAGCCGAAGGCAGATGCTTAACAACTGAGCCACCCAGGTACCCCAGTAACTTGCTTTTCTATACAATTTGTTTTTGAGAAGATAATGAAGACATTCCTAAATAATAATCCTTTTTACTAGAACAGTATTTTTTGCTTGTAAGGATTTTCAATAGCCATTTCACTACGTGCCTGATGATCGAAGCCCTTAAGAGTGGTTTCTACCTGTGGATTATGTATGTACAACAGCCCCAGCTAGGGGAAAAGGAGAAAGAGATGGAGACTCCCATCCATCAGATTTGTCATGTGGACTGACCTTCATATTAGGTGAGATTTCCAAAACAGTGGTCCTTTCTAGAGTGGGACTGGGGAGGGAGGAGTGTGAGGCTATCCAGATGAAGAATTCCTTCTTTTCTGAGTATAAAAAAATGATGATCGGTAAAGATAACTACTCAAGACTTTGTTTCCCTCCTTTCATAGGTTTTATTCATAACCCAGTAAGAGGTCTTTTACCTCCTTCCCCCATATCCTTCCTATCATTTTTTATTGATAGAGCAATCCATGCCACCAGATTCCAAGCCCCAAAATGCTTTGATCTCTGTCATAAATTGGGAACTGTTAGCAAAAGGTATAGGAAAACAGAAATAGATGGGCTAAATCCTCATTCTTCTAGTGAAATTATGTGGGGTCTTTTTTTTTTTTCCATTTCTTTGAAAAAGGTTTCTGGTGTCCTTAAAGCTTACAACATAAAGCACTACTGTCAGAGATACTTGCTTCAATGCTGGACTCCTACATCCCAAATGATATTAAGAATTCTGCAAATAAGCACTTTGGTGTAGTATTGCCCACACATGCTGCAAAGTTGACCAATGAGTATTATGACATGGCACCTGTCACCAGACTAAACCAAAAACGGGAGCCCAAGGATCACTGAAATTTCTTTCCCTCATTGGTTGTTACTTGAAAAACTAAGAGAAGACTATTCAAACACTGTATCTGAACACTTGTTTTTGTATTCCAAAATATGCTGACAGAGACTGACATACAGTTCAACCTAATGAGTATTTAAAGATGGAGAAAACACCCCAGTAATTGATACAGAAAAAGTAAGTCCTCATCATCCAATGCCCTTTAGCAAGACTTCCAATTCATAAGGGGATCATTTCACCCGAGTCAGTTTCCGTCACCCCAGTTGTTTTTTAAAACACTGACACAGAGAAACAGAAGGACAATGGGGAGAACAGACACAACAGCTGATGCAATCTCACAGGACATAAATACCCCTTACTATCAAAAGTTCTACAGAGGGCATTTATAAAATATTTAGAAATGCAGCTTCTTTTGCAGTTGGGTAAATCACCTGGACTTCAAAAATGAAAGCAAGGGCGCCTGGGTGGCTCAGTTGGTTAAGCCACTGCCTTCAGCTCAGGTCATGATCCTGGAGTCCCGGGATCGAGTCCCGCATCGGGCTCCCGGCTCAGCAGGGAGTCTGCTTCTCCCTCTGACCCTCTTCCCTCTTCTGCTCTGTCTCTCATTCTTTCTCTCTCAAATAAATATATAAAATCTTTAAAAAAAAAAAAAATGAAAGCAAAAGGATCTGGGAAGAGTTAAGAAATCTCCGAAGTTCTAAGGGAAGTTTAAACCAATCACGCCCATGGTTGGAAGAAGAAATTTTGAGTAATTCTCAAAAAATCCCTCACTGCTTTTTATTTTGTCTTACTACAACATATTAAAAAGAACTGAGTCCAGAAGAAAGTAGGTTATATGGAAAACATTCTCTTGGCCCTCAAATCACTGGGTTTGGGTTATTCACTTAGAAGTTCTACTCTAATCAAGTTTTCCATAAGAAGAGAAGTTTTAGCCACTGAAATGTGAGCAATCTTCTTCAATGGCACCCTGTAGAAAGAGAAAAGAAAACTACCCTCTTATGTTTGAAAAACTATTATTAGTCTGAAATGAAAGATATCACCTTCCAAAAGAAAGGAGAAAACTCGGCTGGCTAGTTCAAGTCAGAAACCCAGGGTGGAGGTTTCCAAGGCCCTTTTATTAGGGGAAGGTCCCCTTTGTAGCACAAGACTTCACATATGTATCAGACAATCAGATCAGTTCCTAAAAATTAGGAAAAAAAAAAAAGGGAAAAACAAAACAGATGCACTTTTTATATATATTAAACATAAATTAAAAACAATTTATAAAATGGTCACCTTTCTTACAGCATAAATGCAGACTGAATTATGAATGCACCTCCAGGTTTAAGTTGTTAAAGTTGTTTTTGTTTTGTTTTCCAATAATAAATAAATAAAATTTGTTCTTAAGTTTTGGATCCACCTGTGCCACAGCAGGGCTCTGCATCATTACTGGCTCTTCTCCCCCTGTCGCTCCTGTGCGCAGTGTTGGGTTGTGCAGGGGCCACAAATTTCACTGGCCCATCGGGGTACTGGCTGTCTTTTCGGGGTGGCATCCGTTCGTTAATTCGGTCCAGACCTCGGGCTTCTTCAAAACTCCGGATCCTGTGCTGAAGCGAAAACCCTCTGATGGCTACAGGAAAACAGGAAAGGGAGGAGATCGATTAGACAGCAAAGCAACAAGCTTAAAGTTTTTTAGCAAACAGCAGCCTCCTACAGAAAACCATAGAAGGGTTGGAGCACATGTCTGGTGAAGGTAACGGGCAATATTTGACTTGAATCAGCCTCTTCTGAAGCTACTGCTTCCTTAAGGCCCACAGGGCAGTTGAAATTGTGAAAGTGATTTTCACAGAAGCTCAATACAATTAATCATGACATAAGTATACCAGACAAATGGCTAACAAGTTTGTTTTGAACTTCAATACATTCGGGAAAGGGTTTCTTATGGGCCTGAAACATGCTTAATGTAAGACAAAAGGCAACACTAGAATAGAGCAAGTTAAACAGAGTAGTTAACTTTAGCACAAACACCATACTGACCACAAAAAAAGTAATAAAAGAGCTAATCTTTTTTGTTTAGAAGGACGGCTTTTTCTCTTGCACAACCAGGAGCTGAATGTAAGTTAAAAGGCATCTAAAAAATAGCTTCTGGGTATCTTCCTTCTAATTGAACTTTTGTATCACCAAGGAAAGGCATTCCCATTTTGAACCACCTTACTTAACAAAAAAATTAATAACACAAGTTTATCAATTCCAATGATTTTCATCGTCAGATTCATAGGTGATCTGTTACTTGAAATTTGTTTTCATAGAAACAGAGATAATTTAGCTTGACTACCTTAGGGCAACCTCAGAAATGAATCAAACTAAATCCTAGTCTACTTTTGCCTCTGCTCTTGATATCCTTTAGAATCATTAGATAAAGAGGCTGACCTGTTTGGGTCTCTAGTAATCACACAGAAGTCACTTCTCTATGGAAGGGCTCCAAAATTAAACCATCTGATCCCTCATGACCAGCTGCTTAAGCTTCACCCATCGCATTAAAACTGACAGAGCCCAGAGAGGACTTTAGCTGTGGAGAGGGTCATTTAAATTAACACAAATACAGGACACAAAGGAAACACTTTGTGAGCATGCCTAGAAATATTTATTCCTTTTCTCACTGTTACACTTCTGGTGATGCAATAACAGAAGATTTCAAATGTTGACACTTTAAAACTAGTAGACAGACACATGATCACATCTATCATAGGAATATGGCCATACCTTCCCGGGCCTCTACCGCTTCTACTGTGGCTGTAAGAGGCAGGAGCAGTGGCATGCAAAAATGAAGACAGAGAAAGAGTGAGTAAACCAACAGCATTGCTGCCAGCACACACAACCCAGGTCCCCACCTCAGCCTATTCCCATCCATACTAAAAGTCAACTAGCTAGAGAAGCCAGGGTTACTGCGAAACACTCAACTGGGGGGAGATGTGAGGTGGGAGAGTTTCTAATACTTTTAACATTTCGGGTGGCATGGGAACCTTTTTAGCTAATAGCATCTGTAGCTAAGACAATGGGTCAGTCAAGCTGACTATAAGAAACCAAGAGTTATATTGCTTTCCTAGTTTTTAAATAGCCAGCTGCTCTTTGACATTCACGTATCAAAATAACTTGAGTCAAATAATTTAACATTACAACTGTTCTTTAGTTTCTAACAGCTCAGAGGGTATTAAATGAGCTGTTGCTGGGTCCTATACAAAATAGTTACTTAAAACTACTTCTTACTGCTCTTAAGCAATTTATGTGGGGTCCAACTGTCCTTTTTAATTACTTAATAAAAAAAATGACCTTTGAATAACAGACTAGCATTTGGAAGGAGAGACATGGGTTTTAAGTGAGTGGTTATTTCTTGTCCAGGGGTGGAGAACTAAACTGGCAAAGACATAAAACTACTCAATACCAGATACAAATTCCTGTACCATCTGGGATTAGAGATCTAGCAGAAGCTGCCATCTCCAACCCATACGGCTTCCATTCACTGTGCAGGAGAGCAGACCAATTACTAAGACAGCCTTCTCCTTCAGTGATGGAAAAGGAAGTAATTTAAAAATTAGTGCCAACAGGTAAACGTCCTTGCATCATCTTTTTAAAGTAGTAAAAACCCTAATACATGAAAAGGTTACAGGTTGTAGCAAGAAAGATCTTATTAGAAGAACCCTCTCAGTTCCTCCAGTACTGATTTTTTACAAGAAGTCAGGGAAAAATAATGAACAGGACAGTTTACTGTTCTTGAGGTTTTGTGTATCAATAAGAGGAGAAACTGGAAGAACTAACAGTTAACTTTCTATCACAGTGTGAAAAATGGAACCTTGGAATCAACTTATCAAGTGCTTAAATTTGTCAACCATCTGTAGGCCTGTGGTAAGGCAATGTCACACCCTCTCTAATCACCTCAAATAGAACAAATAAACGTTCACAAGAAAACGAAGTGCCTTCAAACAGTACATCACTGCTGCTGTTACAAAGTTGAAGAACAAAGCATAGCCTGAAATTGTATACAGGTTGTTGGTCTGATTAGAGTTTAAACGCTATGTGGTAAAATGTGTACAAGTATTACACTGTTTTGGGTCCTTCTAGAATTGCTTTTTTGCACCAGGTATTAAGATACCAGCCTGAATTAAGGGGCATTATACATAAGAAACAGTCACAAAAAAACTGAGAAACTGGTTTATTTATTTATATTTAATTTATGCTTATATATATTTATTATATTCTTGACTGAAATATAATTCACATACCATAAAATTCACTTGTTTAAAGTGTTCAATTCAATGATTTAATATAGAGTTGTACAACCATCACCACAATCTATGGTTAGAACATTTTCATCACCCCCAAAAGAATGCTATTTACTTCCCTCATTCCTTTCCCTTAATCCTAGAGCCAACCAATGCCTGGTCTGGACATTTCATATAAATGGAATTACAGGGTTTCTGATTTTAGTGACTGACTTCTTTCACTTAGCATTTTTTTTTTTAAGATTTTATTTATTTATTTGACAGAGAGATTCACAGTGAGAGAGGGAACCCAAGCAGGGGGAGTGGGAGAGGGAGAAGCAGGCTTATGGCTGAGCAGGGAGCCCGACATGGGGCTCGATCCCAGGACCCTGGGATCACAACCTGAGCCGAAGGCAGACACCTAATGACTGAGCCACCCAGGCGCCCCTCACTTAGCATGTTTTTAAGGTTTAGTCACGTTGAAGCATGTACCAGTACTTCATTCCTTTTTATGACTGAATAGTATGCTACTGTGTGAAGAGCCACCTCATCAGGTGATGGATGTCTGAGCCATTTCCACTTCTTGGCTCTAATGAAAAATGCTGCTGTGGATATCTGTGTACAAGTCTTTGTGTGGATACGTTCTCATTTTTCTGGGGTGTATAGCTGCAAGTGGAACAGCTGGTCATAAGGTCAACTGCACGTTTAATCATCTAAGGAACTGCCATATTGGTTTCCAAAGTACTGTACCATTTCACATTTCCACCGCAGAGTATGAGGGTCCCAATTTCTCCACATTCTCACCAATACTTGCTACTATCTGTGTGATCACAGCCATCCCAGTGGGTGTGAAGTGTTATTGTGGTTTGGATCTGTATTTCCTTAATGTCTAATGATGTTGAGCAAATTTTCCCATGCTTAGGGCCACTTGTATGTCTTTGGAAAAATGTCTATTCAACTTTTTTACCCATTTTTTAATTAGATTGTCTTTTTATTATTCAATTATAAGAGTTCTATTTTCTAGATACCAGTTCCTTATCCAACGTATGATTTGTAAATATTTCCACCCATCCTATGGGTTGGGTTGTCTTTTCACTTTCTTGATGATGGTTCCATTTGCAGCACAATGTTAATTTTGATGTAGTCCAACTTATAACTGATTTGTTTTTTATTTTATGGTCTTTGTGAATCTCATTCAGTTCTTGGCAGTCCTCTTTATTTCGGTACTAGGAAGCTTGGGAGTAAAATTTGTGGCTGTCTATTGGCTTTTTGTTTGTTTTCCTTTGTGCTCCAAATTCCAAGCATATTTATTTTACTTCAATGTGTTATATGTATACTGTAACTTATTCAAATCCCTCTTGGAACAAGGTAAGACATAAATGAATATATGCTATAAGGCCATATGGGATATTGTTGGTTGAAAGTTCTCCAAGTAAAGTTAAAGGAACAATAAAAGGTCTTTTTTAGCTAATGCTCCACTTTGCCAATGAACCTGTAGAACTGAGACTCTGATGGGAACGACAAATAAACTCAGTTTCTGTCAATCAATAAGAGACATAAGAAGCTCTAAAAAGCTAGCTTCAACTTAGTTTTGTTCTTAGGCATTCCTGAAGACGTCTATCAATTTCAAAAGCATCGATAAAAAATCCTATTTGATTAAAACACTCATATTCCAATTAGGAATGAAGAGAAACTATATACTTGGGACTGAGAACAAAAGGCAGACCAAAGACTACAAATAAACAAATCTCCAAATAGCACATCCATACAATTCTCCTCGTTATTCATCCCAGATCTGCTCTTTCAAGGTCCAGATTGAAACAACTCTGTGGATCAGCAAGTTTCCAAAACTTTTCAAGTAAGGTGTAGAAGACTTTCCCTTTTTCTTCACCCATAGTGTTTCCTACTAATTGCAACCTGCCTCGTCAGAAGTACTCTCAGAGTAGCTCACATGACTAATTACCAAAGTAATGGAGGGAAGTATTTTGCTTACAAGAAACTATACATTTATTTGAGAGAAAAAAATTCAAACTGAAATAGTTTACTGATCCTTTCCATGAAACTAAAGAAATTAAGAAAATTAGTTATGTTCTTCAAGGAGAAAATGTTCTTTCCTCCTTCTAAATAGTTAAACTCTAATATTCCATATTCTAATTCTAATTCTAATCAATATTCTAATATTAATTTGAAAGAGAAGGAGGAATTCAATCCTATATAATGAAAGGGGGAAAAAAAGGCTTATTCCTATTAATGAATATCAGTGGACTTACCACAAAAAGCAAAGGATTCCTATAAGTAATGGGATGACAAGAAAAAAGAAAAACTTAAATAGAAACAATTTAACAAACAAGGGGGCAAAAAAACAGTGAAACTCTAGTTTAAGGTGTTAATGCTTCAGCTGTTTTTGTGCCTAGAATTAGTCATCTTGCTTGACCAGATCTACGTCTATTCTGACAAACATCAATCTTTTCATTCCAGGGTTCCATAAAGCCCTCTCCTTACAAGCTGGCATCCATGTGCTTTTTAGAACTGACACTCTGACTGGATAGGTGACTGTGGCACTGGAGTAGGATATGGCTCGCAGGCAGAGGCAAACACCCTCTCTGAGAAATTCTAACACCCCAAAATAAAACAGGCATAAGGATGCCTGGGTAGCTCAGTCGGTTAAGTGTCCAACTCTTGATTTCAGCTTGGGCCATGATCTCAGGGTTGTGAAATTGAGCCCCGTGTGGGCTCTGCATTCAGCAGGGAGTCTGCTTGAGATTCTCTCTCTCCCTCGCCCCCCTCTCGAGTGCTCTCTAAAATAAGTAAATCTTAAAAAAAAAAAAAACACCATACATAAGTGAGACATATCATGTGCACAAATCTAAAGTGCACAGCTCTATACATTTTTGTGTATGAATACACTTGTGTAACTACTACCCAGATAGTGATATAGAACATCGCCACTACTCCAGAAGTCCCCTCTGCTCCTTCTGTGTCATTATTCTCCCACCAGAAGAAGTGCCATTCTGACTCCTATTACTGTTTGGCTAGTTTGCCTATTCTTGAACATCCTATAAATCAGACAGTCTGTGCCCTTTTGTGCCTAGCTTTTTTAGCTTACCATAATATTTGTGAGATTCAACCATGTCTTTGCATGTGTTCATAGTGTTATTTTTTCACTGCTGTGTAGCATTCCATTGTAGAAACAGAACACATTTATCTACTCTACTATTGATGAACATTTGGGTTTTTTCCTGTTTGGGGCTATTACGAATAAAGCTACAGTAAATATTGTTATGCAAATCTTTTGGTGGACATATGCATTTATTTTTCTTTGATATACCAGGGCTGGGATTGCTGGGTTATGGGGTAGGATATATGTTTTGTTTAACTGCCCAAGAGTTTTTCAAAGTGGTTGAACCAATTTACATGCCCACCAGCAATGTATCCAGTTCTATTCTCCATAAATTCACCAACACTTGATATTGTTAGACTTTCTAATTTTAGCCATGCTGGTGAATATGTAGTGTACTTCACTGTGGTTTTAATGTCTGTTTCCCAGATGAGTAACTATATTAAGCATCTTTTCATATGCTCATTGGCCATTTTGATACCCTCTTTTGTGAAGTGTCTATTAAAATATATTGACCATTAAAAAAATTGGTGTTTTTCTTATTGAGTTTATAGTTCTTTATAGATTCTGAATTTAAGCCCTTTGTCTGACATATGTATTACAAAAAATCTTCCCTCAGTTAATGGCTTGGCTTTTCCCTTTCCTAAATGTGTATTTTTAGAAATTCTTAGTTTTAATGAAATTTAATTAACTGATTTTTTTTTCTTTTAAGATTAGTACTTTTTATGTCCTAAGGACTCTATCTACTCTAATACTCTCCATACTTTTTTGGGTAAGTTTTATTTTTTCTTTTACATTTAAGTTATAATTAATTTTAAATTAATTTTTGTATATAGAGAGAAGAGTTAAGATTCACTTTCCCCCACATGGATATCTAATTGCTCTAGTATCATTTATTGAAAAAAGCCCTAATTTTAAATTTTATGTTGACTGCTGGGTAATGGGAGCACACCTTCCATGAAAGGAGTATTTCTCATACTCACCTGTCTCAATAGTCTGCTTTCCTCCTGAGAGGACACCTAGAGGGAGTGTCCCTGTTGGAGTCAGGCCCTTGAGAGTCAGCACACTCTCACTCTCTTCCCTGCAAAGGAAGGTGAAAGCCCTGCATTAATGCCAGGGTGTCTACTGCTCAGCAGTTCAAAGGCACTAGATGGGAAGTTAAGAAAAGACGCACAGAGATGGAGGAAAGGTTCTCCTTCTTCCTACCCCTCCCCTGACCCAACGAAAGAGATGTTTTCTGAAAGTATTCCAATTTTAAACCAGCAGATCTTGTTTTTCAATTAGAGTTACTTAATAGCCAGGTACTGTTCTAATGCTTCCATTATATCACCCCATTTAATCCTAGTAACTGTGTAAGGCAGGTCTTGTTATTATCATGCTTTTACAGACAAGGAAACTGAGGCTCAAAATCATACAGCTAAGAGGTCGAGCCAGGATGTGAACACAGGCAATCTGGCTCCAGAATCCACACTAAATCACTCCATTCACTACATCTAAGCTTGTACCAAATGAATGTGTGCCAAAACATTTCTAGTCACTTTAACATATAGGTCAGATTCAATGTGCACTCAGCTCTGACTCTGAAGACCTATCCAATCATACAAACTCCAATTCTAAAAAAAAAAAAAACTGTTCTGAAATCAACTTCTAATTTTCTGTCAAAATGCTTTGATCCCACACTGTAATGACAGATTTATCCTTACCGCAGAATTGAAAAGACCCGTGCCATCTTCCCAATGGCTCTGATTTTATTCTTGATGATCTCCTTTCGAACTGTAGTGCCTCCTTCAGGAATACAAAGAATCAGTGAGTTAAAAGAATGTGTTAACTAGTTAGTTGTTAAAAATGCAGGATGAAGTATCTTTCTAAGTTAAAGAAATTGTTATTTTAAAAAAAGAAATCAAGGTCTAAGCTTGTTTAGACAAAGAAAAATCCCAGCAAGTTCTAAGAAGCAAGAGAAAAAACAACCCAGAAGAGGGGAAAAACAAGATGAAAAAAAATGGAGGTGGTCACAACAAAGACAGACTGGACAGACCTACTAGAGGTGGGAACTTATTTGTGGTTCTGAAATACAGAGCACAGTGAAGAATGAAACATACATGTGTCAACAAAGACAGTCGCTACAGCAAAGATCTCTTCTGAGAATGCTGTGGGCCACCTCAGAATGCGGGGTTTGGCCTGCCAAATGGCAAGTGATGATTCACCCAGTTGTCTTCTGTGGGCAAACACAATATAGAGCTAGCTCTCCTCAACTTAGTGAGGGCTGCTTTCATTCCATAATCCTCACTTACTCACAAACCAGTGAGTTATTTCCTACCATCGACAACTGTGCAATATAAATTATGATGGTGGGGAAGGTCTTTATAAAACAACACCAAAAATGTTACCACAACATTGTATGGCCTTTTCTCATCTAAGATCCAGGGAACAGCTCACACATGAGAAGCCAAGGTCCAGGCATGCACCAGGTGACCACACTCAAAAGTCAGAAAGAGAAACGTGGCCTCTCCTTCCTCACCCCTCCAGCTCTCAATATCCTGCAGAATTATACAGCAGGTGCAAAGAAAATATTTATACTAAAACAGAAAGGGGGGATGGAGAGCCTGTCTGAATCACTCAACTACAACTGAAAAGGTCTAATAAAATTAATAGGCTGTGGTGGGACAGATGGCGAGTATTAAGCTCTTAGCACATTTCAGTCGGATACCTTTCCGATAGCTTGAAATGTAGTGATCTTCAGGGAGAAGAGACACCAAGAAACAAGGAGATGAAGATAGAAATATGGGAAGAGAAATTTAGGTTGACAAGGAAGAGAGAAAAAAAATCAAAGTGAAATGCAATGAGAGAAGCAGGCTACTACTATCTTTTATCAGCTCAGAAGAGACATCTTTGGTAGCATGATAGAGTATTAAATTACAGATTTTTTGTCAGCAGTTTTTCCATTTCTTAAAAGTTTATAGTTTAACATTAATTCACATCTATTGTCATCCAAAACACCCTATCCCCACAAGTCATGCAAATAAAATTGGACAAAGAAAAAGATTTTATTTGGGAAACAAATGACGCTGAAAACAGGGAACAAAAACAAAGGGCAAAATGAACAGCCTACAAGTCTCTTAATAAAGCCTATGTTTTTGTTTAATGGAGTCACTATCTTCCTGTTTATTTCTGGAGATACTATAGTCTTTCCCTTTTTCAGTTTTATATTTTCTTCAGAATCTCAAGTTCATTCACATTGCTTTTTGCTGTTTGTGTTGTTGATTCTCTTCGAGACTTTCCTGAGGTGGCTGGTAATCCTTGGTGTCTGCTTGTGATTGAGAATGGGGGCCTAAAATGCTCTCCAAGTTGCCGGGTGGACCGCTGACTAGCAGCTTTACAGGTAGTGATGGGGTCGGGGGGCTTTGTGAGGGAGTTCTCTATATCAGTATTGAGGATGCATATGGCCACTCAATTCACCTGTTTCGGGCAAGGTATTGATGCCCTCAGTTGTATTCTTAAGGCAGAAATTCTTTTAGTTTACACTTTTTTTGGAGATTAGCCTCCAGACCTAGAGAAGAGGCAGTTGCCCAGTGGCAACTAGGGCTGTAACTGCTTTACAAACAGCTTCCACCTAGTCTTATTTTAGCTCAGTGACCATCTCCCTCCTCCTCCCAACCCACAGTCCCCAATTCTAGAAACTGCTACTACCAATTCCTTTGCTTGTTGAGAATTCTGTGCTGGAACTCAGCATTCACCACTACTTTAGGTTTCTTGAATCAACCAAGTGAGGAACATTAATTCGTTTTCCAGCTTCTAAAAGTTCCTGTAAAAATCTCCACATTTTTGTAGATTTGTAACTTTTAAACTTTTTTATTGTTAAGTATGAGAAACATAAAGAAAAGTACACAATAGAAATGTATAATGTCTCTCTGTTCCCAAAGAAAATCATTCTCTTGACCTTTACTGAAATCACTTTCTTGCTGTTCTTTATAGTTTTACCATGTAAGCATGTGTGGATCCACAAGCACTATGGTCTTCATTGTTTTTGAACTTTAGGTAACTGGAACAATCAAATATGTATTTTTGTGTCTGGTTTCTTTTGCTCAACATAATGTTTGTAAGAGTGATTTGTGTTTTGCCTGTTGTAGTTCACTGTCATTGTATACAATTCCACTATGAACACATATGCCATAATTTATCCTTTTTACTGTCAGTGGTCATTTGGTCTGATTCCAATTTTTAGCTATTGTGAATTTGACTGCTATGACTATTCCTATGCATTTTTCTTTGCTGCTATTTTTGTGAAGTATATTACTAGAATTAGAATGCTCAGTTATTATGCAGATGTTCAACTTTGGACAACAGTGTGGCATTATCTACTAAAGTGGATGTACTAATTTATACTTCAGTGTATGAGCATTCCTGTTGCTACACATCCAGGCCAGCTCTTGGTGTTCTCGTTAATTCATCTTTAATTTTAGCCAATCTGGTGGGCGTATAGAATGATCCACTGTGGTTTTAATTTGCATTTCCACAATTACTAATGTGAATGAGTATCTTGTCATATCTTTACAGGCCATTTTGATATTCTCTTTTCTGAAGTGCTTGTTCAAGTCTCATCTAACTGACCTGCAGTTCTTTATATATTCTGCAAGTGAGCCCTTTGTGAGCAAATATGCTCTCCCACTCTGTTCCTTGTCTTTTCACACTCTTAATAGGGTCTTTTGATAAATACAAGTTCTTATTTTAACATAGTCCAACTTATTAATAGTTTCCTGTATGGTAAGTGCTTTTTGTGTCCTGGCTAAGAAATTGTTCTCTACCCCAAGGTCATGAAAATATTCTATGTTATAAATTCTAGAAGCTTTTACTGTTTTACCTTTCATATTTGAATATATTAATCCATCTGGAAATTATTTTGGGGTTTGAAATGATACAGGTCAGGTTTAATTTTTTCTCAGATATCCCCAAATCACTTATTAAAAATACCATCATTTTCCTACTACTCCTGGCAGTGCCACCTCTGATGTAAATCAAGTGTCCACATATGTTGTGATGTGTCTGGATTCTCTGTTCTGTTTCAGTGCTCATCTGTTCTTGCACTACTAATTCTAATTACTCTAGCTTTATAGTAAATCTTGATATAAAGAACAAGTCCTCCCACCCTGTTTCTCTTCAAGACTTAAGCTATTTCCATATTAATTTTGTAACCTTTCCTTAGCATTTTCATACAAATTTTAGAATCTATCCTCAGCATTTCCATATGAATTTTAGAATCGAATGGGCTGTTAATACTTGACTTTGTACTGAATCCATAGATCAATCTGGGAATGATTGAGATCTTTACAATATTGAGTTTTTAAAAAAATCAATGAACATTTTATTTCTTTCCATTTATTTATATCTCCTTTAATTTCTCTAAGAATGCTTTATAGTTTGTTGCTTAGAGGTACCACACACCACTTGTTAGATTTATTGTTAGGGATGATATTGTAAATGGCATCTTTCTTAAGATTTCATTTTGTTGCTGGTAATAGAAATACAAAGGGTTTTTGCTTATCGACTTTGTATCCAGCAGCTCAGCTACATGCACTTGTTGATTTTAACAATCTATGGATTCTTCTAAATTTTCTCTGCACACAATCATATCACTTAGTTGTGTTTCTCTCTTTCCAATCTTTACACCATATGTTGCTTTTTTTCCTGCCTTATTGTATTGGGTGCAACTTCTAATACGATATTGTATAGAGGTATTGATAACTGGTATCCTTGTTTGTTCCCAATCACTAAGGAGAGCTTTCAACATTTTGCCATATGATGTTTGCAACAGGGTTTTATAGCTATGTTTGTTAAAGAATTTCTTTCTAAGCTGAATTTAAGGAATCTATTGCAAAAGAAGGATGAATTTTACCTAATGTTGCTTCTACATTTACTAAGATGTGATTTTTCTTCTTTTTAATGCAGTGAATTATACTGTTTTAAATAAAATTCTATTTTAGAATAGTTTTAGATGTTCAGCAAAGTTGTGAAGTCACTATAGAGTTCGCATTTACCCCTCACCCAGTTCCCACTATTACTAAGATCTTAGGGGCACCTGGGTGGCTCAGTCGTTAAGCAGCTGCCTTTGGCTCATGTTATGATCCCAGGGTTCTGGGATTGAACCCCGCGTCGGGCTCCCTGCTTCTCCCTCTGCCTGCTGCTTCCCCTACTTGTGCTCTCTGTCCAATAAATAAATAAAATCTTAAAAACAAAGAAAAAAGATCTTACATTACTATATACTGATTGAATTTTGAATGCCAAATCTTCCAAAATTTCTGGAATAAATCTACTTGGTTGGGAGACATAATTCTTTTATGTACATTGCTAGTTTCAATTTGTTGATGTTTTGTTTAGGATTATTGTATTTATATTAATGTCCTTTCACATTTTAGTATCATAGTTATACTAGCCTCACTAAATGAGCTGGGGAGCATTTCTTCTTTTTTATTCTCAGGAGGATTTGTGTAAGATTAGTGTTGTTTCTTTTTTAAAAAATTTTAAATAGCTTATTATTATTATTATTATTTATTTATTTGACATAGAGAGAGAGAGAGCACAAGTAGGCAGAGCGGAAGGCAGAGGGAGAGGGAGAAGTAGGCTCCCCGCGGAGCAGAGAGCCCGATGCGGGACTCGATCCCAGTACCCTGGGATCATCACCTGAGCCAAAGGCAGACGTTCAACTGACTGAGCCACCCAGGTGCCCATGTTGTTTCTTTCTTAAATATTTGGTAAATCTATTGGTGAAGTTATCTTTACCTGGCATTTTC